ACATTGATCTGTTACTATTATTTGTTTTGTCCAATCAGCATTTTGTTACACACTTAAAATTCAACTTTGTACTTTGTATTATTCAGAACTGAAGATGACAGAATAACTGTCGAAACATGTTTTTAAAAAGTGTCGTTCATTTTCTTAAAGTTAAATTAAGTGTTAACCGACTCATTTGTAGTGTTTTTCGCCCTCATGGGCCTTCCAAGCGTATTTTACGAAAGTACTTTTGGCCAAAGGTAATTTCGTGACGGCCAATGAAGGCCAAAAAGTATCACAGTTAAATCGATTAAAATTTCAATTTTACTTTATTGAGATTTCAGACCGAGATGTAATTTAGATATGCTGCAATTTTCAGAGCTTTATTCGTAACTTTCATAGATTCTGTTCGTCTCGCGTCAACAGTTAGTAACCACGAACACATAAAGGGGTCTGCCTGTGCTGACACTACCGTAATTGAACAAAAAAATTTACTTTACGTTTACACTCTGCCTTGTCGTCTCTCTTCGGGTATTTTTTCTCGTTTCTTTTTTCCTACATTTGGGGAACTAAAGCAACTAATTTTGTCGGATTTTTAACTGAGGAGCTAAGATAAAAGCAAATCCATCAAAAATTGATTACAAAAAAGTCCTTGATTTTTAAGCTACACAGCAGCATTACGCGATAACGAAGTATCGTAACTAGACTCAAGTTAGACCAATAACTTACGTGCGAGCCTAAACTGCTATTATTTGACAGCGACAAACTGTTTTGCGACAATTGACATATATTACTCCTGACGGACAATCAATCTCAATATCAAAGGATCTTTAATTTTTAGTAGAACGGCATAGCCAGCTACCTCTGACATATGATGCCGATTACTCGAGTGTTCCACACTACCTTGAAGACTTTTCCTATCCACTGAGAAAGCCAATAAATCTTTAATAAATCTCACATTCCATTTGCCTCTGCTTGCCGGAAAAGCGCCTAGAAGTGACCCCATGTTCTGCAGGCTGGGGGCTCCTGTGATGTAACACACACCTACACGCCAAAGAAACACCTTGCAGGGCATGTTTTCAAATATCTTGCATAGTGGTTGAGAGATCAACTTTTACTTTCTACGTAGAAAGCTCTCTTGAGTTATTCATCGTTCCCTGAAAGGAAAAGAAACCACATAAAATAAAGAGGACAAGTAACCTTTCCAAAATAGCGTTTCCTTGTTGTACCCTTGAGATCCAAACATAAATTTTCATCATCGTTTGCCATACATTTCTTATTATGCTTGTTGTGAGAATTAGGCCATGAATTGCCCTATGTCCTCTGGTTTCCATGTTACTTTGTTCTCATCACGTGTCCACTCGACTATTTATACGTAGTAGAAGGAGACATTAAAAATTAGTAGCTCATGTGATTGAACCTTGAATGTAAGAATAAGCTCTGCGAATGGCGCCGTACTTGGATTTTGACTTCTCTCGTGGGAAAATTCAGGCTTTCTTTAACACCCTTGTTGGTATATTGTCTTTACTCCTTAGCAACTTTTCGTACAACTTTTCAGCTTAGAATTCTAGCTCAGTTTGAGTAGAAAATGCCATTCATCTGATTATATATAGGTGATAGTAACTTAGCTGTCAATCCATGTCGATCGTCCATGAAGTCACAATTTAGATCCGGCAAAACAAAAACAAGATCGACAATGGTTTCTAATGGCTATCCTTCTTCATTTGTATGAAAACTCGCAAAGACAACAAGGGCAACAACCAACAAAGAGCCCGCGCAGGAATTTAAATCTACTGCCTTTCTCCCTTGGTGTATCAGAGGTTCTTCGCCGCTGCCTACAACATCAAGGCATACGGACCGTTTTTAGGTCGGACATAACACTTAGGTCTCACTTAGTACGACCTAAAGACGATCTGGAACCATCAAAACAAGACGGTGTCGTTTACAAGATCCCATGAAAATGCGGCAAAGTGTATATCGGTGAAACTGGAAGATCAATGCGAGAAAGGATGAAAGAACATGACGAAGACATACGGTTTACTCGTACTCAGACCTCTGCGGTTGCGGAGCATGCTAACGAAACGGGGCATATTCCTATTTGGAGCAATGTTAAGTTTATTGATCGTGACCCCCACTGGTACACACCTAGGGTTAAAGAGGCTATCCATATAAGACTTCATCCCAACAACATCAATAGGGAAAGCGGAATCGAAATTCCCCGAGCTTGGATACCCACGATCAAACAACAAAACAGCCGATTTATGAAGACCTCAGAATATGACTTCATTGGAGAGTTATGGAGAAAATAATATTTAAACATCGTTACATAACGACAAAGTAAACGGCAAGTTCGAGAAGATGAGGAGGAATGGAATATATAAGTAGGGAGATTTCAAGGAAATTCCCATACAGAAATCAGTTTTGGTCAAATAAATGACGGTTACATTGGAGAAAGGATTGGAATTCTTTCAATAAGTGCAATTGGAGCATAGCTCACCGAAAAGCCAATTACCATGAAATCTGTATACACTTTTTTTTTTTAATTTTTTTTTTTTTATAAGAACCCTTTTCATAAGAACGTTCAGGCTGAGACCAACCAAAATTTTAAAGACATCCTAGGAACATATTAGGCTGAGAGTCAGTTGAGAACCGTCTTTGTTTTGCTAATTTGTGAGAAGTATAAGTATAGGTAAAAGAAATTCAAAACTTTGGTATAATTCGAAAATTAATTCTAGTATTAAGGGATATTTTTTAACTTTAACAATGCGGGTTTCTCCACGATACACTGAAGCGAAACTCAGTTTGTAGTCGAACTTAATTGATTCATTTTACAATAATACACGTGCAAAAATTTCAGCATGCTCATTGGCTGAGAACACGTCAATTAATCCCAAATAGTGCAGAAAGTTGAAGTTTAGTACAAAAAGCTAAAATTGAGTGCAGAAAGTTGAAACAAAATTGATTGACAGGTAAGCCGCGACAGCGCAGCAAAACAAAATGGCGGAGAAATGGTTAGGAGAAAGTTCAATACAACGTTTTGATTCAAAGTTTGAGTGAGAATGCTAAAAACAAAAAACCTAGCCAGGGGGTAACTAGCGGTTAAAATTCTGGCCTCCCAAAATGGATATGAAAGTATGAACCGGAGCCCCTGAGTAATATTCTCGAGGAGTTTTACGGAACAATTCGTTGCGTAAGACGGGGAAGATTGCGAACGTGATAGCTACGCGACGGATACCTAACGGAGAAAGAATATAAACGCTAAATTATTCTCGAGAGAGGTTTTGAAAGTTTTAAGTAAGTTTTTGCGGGAAAAGATCGACAACTTCGGCAACAAGACAAAGCAAGCGGCCCAACCGGCGATCCATGCTACGGAATAAGAACAGCCAAAGAGGAAAACAGAGTCATATTTTTGCTTGTATATTGTTAACTAGTAATCACATGACTTTTCCCGTGCAATTTGAGATAATAGGAACTCGTATATTTTTCGAAGCCTACAAACTACCCTTGCTCTACAGGCTCGTGCAATATGGTTAGCCTTTGAAAATTGACTCGTGTTAATTTGTCCTAAATTGCACGAGAAATCACGTTATTACCTGTACATGCTTTACCGCACAACTTTAAAAACATGTTAAGAACGTTTTCAAGCTCAACCGCGAGAAAAAAAAAAAAATAAGAACGTTCTGCCTTAACTCCCAAATTAGACGTAAATAGACTATTTCCTCACAACAGGATACGATATCAACTAATCTAAGTTGTAAAATAAGGTCGTAAAGAGAATAAAAGATGATAAACTAGCTTTGATGTTTTCACTGAATAGCTTACAATATATATTATTTCCATTCATATTCCCAACATCAAGATAACAAAGTTCCTAAAATAATGTTGAATGTAATATACTTTCACTTCTATCAAATTTTTCGCCGTACTTTTCTGGTATAAACGAATGTAAACCTTTTAGGTTTCACACTTACAAGAACTGGACTGATATTCTCTTGCCACGAGTCATCTGCAATTTCATCAAATTTGGAGGGCCACGCGGCACACAAAAAAACTGCCTTCAGCTCTGGTGAGATCACAAGGACTATAAAACCTCTGCTCAGTTCAACAGAGAGACCTTGAAGAGGCGTCAATAAGCCGAGGAGGAATAAGGACAAGTTGGGTTGGAGAAGGCCAAAACAATCAACTTGAAAATTGCATAATTAATTTTTCAAGAGGCAAAACGTGACGATTCTCTTTGCAGAAGACCCTGTCTCGACCCCTGAATAAATTCGACTCCGAAAAGAATCCCGAGAGATAAATTTCATGTGTTATCGAACATTTAGGAATCTATCTTGTACTTATTTATGGACTGGAGATACAAACAAGCACCTCTTTTTGAGGATTCCTTTAAGTCAGATTAGTTCCGAATGAGCCAGAGTAAAACAGAATTTTCAGTCTGCCTTTCATCTTTTCGCATTCCATGGATTGAAGATACTATCAGCATGAATATCGTAAAACGGAAAAGAGTTCAAGTCCAAGTTCATGTGAAATTGGTCCCACGTGGCCAATGATTGCTAAGTCATAGACAAGCATCCCTTATTGATGTTTGTTATAATTCAGTTGATTTCTGAGTTGACTAGGGGAAAACAGACTGTTCAAATTCTGTCTTCTATCTTTTCACAATTTTTTTGAAAAGCTGAAACAGTGAAATTAGGTATCCATGAATTGGAACCTCTATTCCCCGCCCCCTTTCCCATGAGACATCTCACTTCCGCCCAGACAGAAAATCGGGCCGGTGTTATGTGTTTCCGCACTCTAGCAGTCACTATTCCATGCTACAAGAGACTTCGATGTATGAGCATCCAAACGAAACAATCAAACACTACTTCTCAGTGATTTGTTTGTCATTAAGTTTCGTGTCAGGAAACGTTTTGAGAAGAGGAGAAGAATCCCGAAAACTCCCGGAAAACTCTTGCTGCGCAAATGTAATTCTTTAGATTTTTGATTGGATTAACATTAGATTGGGATTACAAGTGTAATGTATTTAGGCGGTAAAGGTGGCTTTAATTTCTAGTTTGCATTATACCGTGAGCCAAGCCCAGCCGAAGCTTCAAGAAAATTCCTCGTTCTTTTGTGGCCCGTCATGCTGTACTAGGTTGGTTCCTTTAAAACCCTAACGTACTGTCTGCCCTTGATAAGCACTTTTAACAAGCAATTTTTTCCAGAGTAAGTCCGACAGTTTGTAACGAGGTGATCAAAAGTTCTTCATGTAATTTCGAGCCTCAATGGTCGATGGAATGAAAGCTATAGAAATGTTGCTATTTGAATTTTTTGTATTTATATTAATCTGAGTAAGAGACCTTCTTTACAGTAAAGCTCGATTTCGTAAAAAACGTAATTGGGACTTCCAAACCAATAGAGACGCTGTTGAGTAAAACATCTGCACTATGACTAGAAGAAATGACTATTAGGCGATTTCCCATGATTATGTCAATTTATTTTTTCGCTTGAAGTTCTGAGAAGGTTATATTTACATTAATTCTCAGTGTTACATTCAATCATAAAAAAGTGAAACGGGTATGCCCTGGAGTACAGTTACGTGATCTGCAACGTAATAAAGGAAAAAAAAAATAGTTTAAGGCGATTATAGCCTTAAGCTATTTCTCACGCGAGGTAAACTAAGCAGAAAAAGGAAATAGTTCTAACGAGATGTCGTAAAACTGGCGTTGCTCAATAACTCCAGCAACTGGATATGGATAAATACGTGTGAAAGAGGATGTTATACAATGAATAACAGAAGCCTACTCGGAGAAAAAGAACTCCGAGTGCTCCTGGTAGGAGTCGGACCTACGACCTTCCGATTAGGACCTCAGATACTCTACTACTGGCCTTTTAATTAGGCCCATAGTGACAAGCTTCCTGAATACTGCTGGGATAGGAATGTCGATAGGTGATGCCTATGCACAATGATAATTTAAATGAAGGTGCTGAATTGTAAGCCAGGTGTTTTAAGCATAAATTATATGCAATTGTTTCAAATATTTTTGAATATTGACAATCATCATCACTTATCACTCATGGTATCTTCGTTTACGAGGTAACTACTAAAAACAGGGCCCAGTTGTATAAAGGACGGATAACACTATCCGACGGATAATTGCTATCCAGCGGATAACTGTTAACAAAATCTACCGTGCTATTCACCGGAGAGCGATTTATCCAGTGGATAGCATTATCCGACATTCGAACAGCCGGGGCCAGATGAATAAAAGGAGGATAACCATGGTTGCCACGGTTTTTAAAACTCGTGGATGTTTCCTTGTAAAATTTCTATGACTAGGTGAATCAACCGTCTCATAAATTAGTCCTGATAATGAGGTTCAACGTTCCCTTCTAGCCGTTCTCTCTACCCATGTGTTTTTACTTTCAACCACACGCATATAGCGTAAATGAATCGATAGCTCCTGGAAAATAGGATTTTTTTTCATTCTCTGCTATCTGACCTGCCAAATATACTATGAAAGGATAGGTAGGCAATGAAAGATTTTTTCCGGTTTTATATCGCCTCATCGAAACACGATAAAGCTGGACGAATTCAACAAACAAGCAAAAACGAAAAAATGCTCAAATATACGCACGAATCTGACACAAAAACCTCTCATTAACCACCAAGAAGATAAGAGGCAATCCAGGTATTGGGGAGTGTTCTCCCCCTTCTACGCGCTCCGATTGTCTCATTCGAACCAAGCGCTCGGTCTCGGCTTGAAACCGAAAACAATCGTTTTGGTGCCTAGTCTCTTTCGCAGCCATTGTTTGGTCTCGTCACGCAACGCGCTCTCTCTCCCACCACCACTCAAATGAACTAAAAATAATTGAAGTACTCCTGTGTGTCGATAAATCTAGATCTGTTCCCTTGTATTTCAACCCATGGATAAGTAAGCATTAGGAATTACACACGACAAAAATACGCATTGCTTTTGGTTGAATTTATTTGGTTTGAATGCTTTCAGGTTACATTATTATAATTTTTAATAAGTACTACGAAAATATGTTTAATCCTGTTAATGTGTCTGAAAATAGGATCGGGATATGAAGAGCCAGGAAGCACATGACTGCCAAGATTTTCAGTGAGTCCCCCACCCCACGATCAAATTCTTTGAAGTAGGTGACGACCATCAAAAACCTACATTTATACAGTTATACAAGCCAGAAACTGAAGTTTCTGGCTTGAATAACTTGTTCTTTAGTGGAGATCTGGAAGTTCTAAAAATATTCATCTTGTTATCGAAATTTTTAACACTGCATTACATATTTATCGCACTCCCTATACGAAAAACGTATTTGCAAATTGTCGACCCCAACCTTCCCTGCCTCCTCACAAGGACTAATTTACCTTTCTAAATCGTGATCAGTAGTCTGTCTTTCAGTGAAAGAGCATTTCTCTGGTCTCTCTGTAAAAACAAAAGAAATGTGTAAGTTGGCAGCATAGTAAATAACTCATTCTGTTAAAATTGTTAATTACCGTGCCTCATCCAAGAATAGGTTTCTTTTACACACACTCTCACTGTGGGGTACTTACTTAAACCCGGCAGCCGATGATTCAACTAATAATAATAATAATAATAATAATAATAGTAAATGCTCTAGTTAAAATGAAAAAACGGATCAGCGAATTCATCAAAAAGAACGCTGGTATAAACCGGTGATCAGTACATAAAAATACTGTTAAAAATACAATTCACCATCGATACAAGTTAAGATTGAATTAAAAATTGCCAAATTTAGACTATCATTAAGACTAAGACTATCACTTTGCTGGTCATAAAGAAAAATTTAACGGCAATCTGCAAAGACAAATCAATAATTTCGAGATTTTCTGCCCAGTAAACAATGTCATATACTAGATCTCTCACAGATTTCGTTCATCATACATATTTAGCTGTTCTACGTATACATAATCATTGAAGTTGGCTTGAACTCAATATCATTTTTTGTCTGTTTTGTTATTAATAGAATTTTGTGACCCCCATCTCATTCGATGCTCTTTTTAGTTCATAATTCTTGCTATCCTAATATTACAATACAGTAATATGTTTTAATTTTTTTACTCATATGGTCAGAGCTCAAATGCAGCCGTGATATGTGAATTGAAAACCTAATTTGAGCCGCGATCCTCTTGTTTTGTGGACCGTGTTCTTGAATTATGATTTGATAATATAATCTCAAACATTAATTGACTCATTCAAAATTAATTTCCGGCAATAGACTCCTGTTACAGGTTAATGGAATCATCGATTGAGGATTTTTTCAGTATTTGAATCACGAGGGGCCCTGTTATCCTGTAGTTCTCTTTGCAAAAAAAATGAAGAGGAAACACGGAGAAGACTTTTCCAAAAGAAAAAAGACAATCTCAGTTGCGTTTTGCTCTAGAACTACAACTTGGTATGTGAAAAATTTAGAATTGGCAAACATACATGACTTATGGCTGTCGGGGTGTCATTTGGGGTAAATTTGGCTGGTGTCCAGACCGACCCTGTCGCCGAAATGTTCAAGAAGTTCTTACTGCAGATTCGAAGGGCTTCAAAATGACCGGTCATTTAACATTTTCGCGGGATTGAGTCCTCGACAGCAGAGCTTTTATGGAATATTTTTCGATAAACTTGAAGGAAAACTATCTGACTTTCGTTAAAGAGAGTCTCGAAGCGGGAAGACGTGGTTTAGTCTAAGAATTGAGCGATTTTCGAGAGTGAGTCAGTCCGTTGATTTAACGAAGCCTTCTTCCCTTCTTCACCTTAGTACAGTCAATAGTGAGATAAAAGCTCAGCTAAAACTCGACGAAATGGCCAAAAAATTGCTTCCAGAGAACAAAAATAACATTATCAACACTATGTGAAGGTTAGAGTATATTTGCTTCATTATTTTACGGAGTTACAAAGCGGAGCCTAAGCTCCCATTCAAAGCTTTATAATATTATCCTCAGATTAAAATATGTGTTTTATCACAAATGGCTATTGTCAACTCTGCACGCGTGGTTCGACCATGTTGACTTGCGTGTTAAGTGCAATGGCAGCGAACAGCGAAGATTCTGACAAATAAGTTCGAGTTTTGGTTTCGTTTGTTCTCTTGGCAGAATTTAAGATACGATCAAACCGCGCACGGATATCTTGACGATGTAATGTTGTTGCTTTGAACTTTTCATCGATACATTTCGCACACGATGAGGATGGGCAATCATATTGCCGAGCACAGCTTTTTTTTCGTATTAAATAAGTTAAGGTCATCACCATAAGATTCAAACTTCTGTTGTTGAAAATAAATCACATGGAATTCCCTTGCGTTTTCGAAGTCGAGGTCGCTTCAAAACAGAACAGACCTTGTGCACTGTGAACTCGTCTGAGGAATTTCGGACTTACATAAGTTAACTGGAGTAATCTGTGATGGACGTTTTCTCGTTAACTTAAAATGAAATACGTGATTTGTGGAATTGCTTAAACTACAAACAAGAATCGGACTCTTCACCGCTCCCCCGCCCCCCTTCCAATACTATTGGGATACGGAGAACTATTTATTTCTATTTCTATTCAAGGAACAAAATACTTATTCTTTTGTTTCTCAGTTTTCGATGATTTATTTCATAAATTTGTTCATGAGAATTGAAAATGTTGATATTCTCTTGCCTCGTTGAACACTTAAACTCGGACAGTATTCTTTTCCGCCTGGGAATATTTCAGATTACCGGCCGCAGGAAAATGTCTGAAAATCTGCCATGGGCTAAAATTTCATCAAAGGGTTGCATAAATAACCCTAATCCATTAATCTACACTAGACGCCGGAAAAAGCTCAATCTAACCAAATTATAGTGCCATTGGCTTATTAAGTAGTGAAATTGTGGTCGAATGTCATAGAATGCGCACAGACATGATCTCACATTTGATGCCATAGGAAAGTTTGATGTAAGAATTGGTTATTCTCATACAGAATGATAATAAATGCAAGCCCTCTAACGCGCAGGATCAATTTCACTGGTATGATTCTTGTTTTTTGGCTTTCTCTTATAAATAATCTCCTCTTCATCCTCCATACAATCGCTGTATCTTATTATTCCTTCGTTTTCTTCTTCCTGGATTGTGGCTACTCAGTAAGAAAACGTGTCTTTTGCTCGTTATACTGAACGTTAGTTAGCGCACCGGCAGATTCAGAGAGTTTTTTTGTTCTTTAAATAAAGGTGATATAGCTTAAAATTCCCCCCTGGCCGCTCATCACTCCGTTTTTCTTTTATCTATGCATTTATTTGTTTCCACAGTATCAAAAATTGTTAAATACCTATGAAAAATACTTTGTCGCTGGTTTGACGAGGCGTTTCGTCTCGGCGTAGAGACTCATCAGATACCTCTCGGAATTTTCTATCAAACTCGTTGAGCACCGCGCTCAAAGTCCGGTCCACAAACTCAAGAGGTTAGCAGTCTAGCTCTCAATCGCAGAAGGATTCCCAACCACACTTGTAACTTGTAAACGAGTTGCATATATTTTTTGTACTTATATCTGATTATTCATTTGTCAAATGGTGTCAAAACGATTAAAGCAAAATATATGATAACATGGAAAATTGCGAAAAAATTTCATTTAATTTATGAAGCGAAGATAGAGTAGGTCACGCTTCATCACCAGATATCGGCCACGGGGAAATTCTTCTTTTTTCATAAAAAATAGGAAATTGATCTAACGTTACATTTTGATTCTCATGCTAGAGTGATTTTTAAAAGAGGGTCTGACTCGATACCTAAAATGAACATACTTCAACAACTTTCTTTTTGTATTTCGCTTTTCCAAAAAATTATATGAACTGTCAACGACGGTTAGAAGATGTTGATACATTTGATATTGCTTAGCTTCGAAAAGTAAGAGTGCAGAGAGAAATCTAGTTGCGTTATCGAGGCAAGCTTTGTCCTAAATTCACAATAAGATAGAGTATGCCAAAGCTAATGACCTAAAAAATTATCTCCTGTCTCTAAGGAAAGGCTATCAGTATTAGACACATGTTCCATCTTAAAAATACTTAATTTCTTTAGTGTTGTAACCGAACAATTGCGCTTAAGCGGTTTTTCATATTTTCTTTGACCATTGACCCAAATAGTCAAATTTACCTGCTCATTCTTTTGTCTTTGATGGTTCAATTTTTCTCTTCTACACCAGTGTAACGAAAGGAAAGAAGCAGTTCATTTGCCATGTAAAGATGCACATAAGATCATTGACAAGTGCATAAAGGACTGATCAACTTCATCTCACAAATATGAACTGAACACTGAAAATATTTAATTTCTTGTTATCATTTGTTTTCAATTTTCTCCTTGCCCCAGAGTTTTCTCTTTCAAATAGTTACAATAGGTGAGTGTCAACGTATGGCAGGTCTCCAAAATGTTGTTTACAAACCTTTACATTTGATGGGCTTGTAAGGGGACCGACTGCTATCTGATTCAGAAATGTTTTTCAAAAAATAAAATTTTTGGAATTCTTTTTTTAACCTTTCACTCCCTAGAGAAATTTGGAAACATCTTTTTGACAGCAAACAGGGCTGCAAATTCTTCCGAAGTTCCCTAGCCACACATTGTACTTGTCTCTACCGTATCTGACTTAAAAATTATGATGGTGGAATAGTTATTATGGGCCAGCTAAACTCTTTTTTGTTTCAATTTAGGGTTCGTTATTCCGTGGCATACAGATGACTAAGCCTCTACGACGAGCCCGTTGCAAGTGGCCTTCAGGGGGTACAACATCTGATCACCAGGTGATTGTTAGATCTATTTCTCTTAGAAGTTCTCACTAGTTCTAATACTCAAGTCTACTTGAAAATTCAGCAGAAGCAATTGTGCATCATCTCGAATTCAGAGAAATACGGAGTATGCCCGTTCTTCTTTCGCTAATACCTCTATCGCTTGCTTGTGCAAGGTTTTTTCTTGCGCTTTTGCTTGCGCCTGTGCACTGACAAAAATCAGCCTCAATGATCACAGGCTTCACGCAAAGGAAATTTTCAAGGCTACGACCAATCATACCTATGTTCAGCAAATAGGCAAGTTAAGCCCTTTACAACCCGTGGCGAGACGACACTCAATAATTGCGGTCAGAGATAATGTTTCTCTTATTCTAAATATAATTATTTTTTTCGATAACACAAATTTGACAAAAAAAGTATTGCATAATAATCGTAATGAACCTACGTATGCCTATACACGTGACAACCGTGAACAATTTTTTGAAGTTTGTGGGTTAAAATATTTTCTTCCAGTAATTCTCTTATGTAACTTGTATATCATTGTGAAGTTTACATTCCATTTGTAAGTTTTTGAAAATATTTCCAAATCTTTCCTTGGTCATTGAAAGATGATCTGATGGAACAGTTAAACCCAAAAGCTGAACATACCTTTTGTCAGATAGACTTTTTTCCCTAAAATTTTATAAGAATAGTGAGTACTCTATAGGAGTTGACTAAAATAGCATCGAAGTTAGAAATATGGAAGAAACTTTTTCCCTTCTCAATTGAATGATCTGTTCATCCGGTTGTGACTAATTTTATGCACCCCAAAACTCAACAAACTTTTTCCTCAACTTTCTACCGCTTTCTTGACCGACTGCATTTCAGAAGGTCGCTGCAGATTCTAGTGCTTTGAAATTAGTCCTGAGGTATGTAAAGGTCAGAGGCTTCCTTTTCATATTCAAAACACTGACCATTAACTCAATTAAAACCCTCGAACACTCTTTGGAACCATCTTGAAGAACCTAATTGGTCTTTGACGGATGCACAAGCCGCGAGTCATTTGATCAATAAGACAATTATAAATGTAGCTGATGAAAAGATGAAGCCATAAATAGGAAGGTATTCGAGTAGGGCTTATTAATTCATCATTGCCACCTCTCACTTGAAAAATAGTTATTTAGCTTCAACCCTGACTCCGTTCATTACTTTTAAAAATTAGAAGAACAAGCTTCTAGGCTCGAAGCCTTAAGGACGAAACGCCTTTAAAGGAAAAAAAATTGTATTCAATCCTATCAAGAAAATCAAAGAAAGAGCCTGATTAAAGAGATCATTGAAAAATTTGCAAATTAAAAGACACACGCAAAATGTAACGATATACTGCGACGAAAAGGAAAGAAGAAAGCGACGAAACAGTAGAGTATCAACATGGTCACAAAACGAAAACTCTGAAAAACATTAAAACGGTCTGGCATTGCTAGCTGCAATGAAGGTCTTTAATAACTTTGTGCGGCATACTTTAGGAACAGAAGAATAAAAGTAAAGAATGGCTCCAGTCAATTTTTTTCGGTGAACACGGGTTCACGGTAAAACCATTTAAACAGATGTAAGTATACATGACATCAATTCGCGACTATTAATCACATTGCCATAAGAAGATTAACGGTATCTGGCTCTCATTGTTAGGGATTTTAGTCGAACAGTTAAGAATTGGAAATCAGCTGTTTATCTCATTATCTGGAACAAGCATCGCTGCTTTATTTCTGATTTACAATTCTTCCAAACATAAATTTCTTTAAATAGTGCACTTTATCTTTGCCTGTTACAAGTACATGATATTTCTGCTTGCGGTGAGTGAAATATTCATGGCCACAAGTCGCACAAGTGGTCATGTTGAAATAAGTAAGTTTATAAATTTTACTCGGCCATGATGTAAAACATGAAATTGTACGTCAGTAAAAACCGTTCCAGTTTTTAGTATTCCTAGAAAGTAAACAGAAAATCAGCTAAAAGAAGGGATCCCGGTAAGAGTATCACCATAATCTGTGGTTTACGTTGAAAGATAAAATGAAAGATGTAAGAGATACGCAGTTATTTGTTCTCTCTTTTTTTTTACATTTAGTAAAGAAAGAATGTTGATCTTGTGAATGCAAATTAAGTGAAGTAAAAAAGCAAAATGCTGTCAGTCTTGGCAACTTCTGGCACTTCTATCTAAGACTGAATTTTCTTCCCCACTTTATCGGTGGTGGAAGAAACATTTGTTAAAATACAACATAATATGTACATATAGATAAAATGAAAAATCGTTATTTAACCTGAGCGCTCTATGTTAAGGATCATGATTTTGTTCAAAATATAAAGTATTCAATAAAATCGGCTCTATGTCTTAATTCGCATTGATATAAACACGTCGTGCACGGACTTCTTCAAATTATTCAGTAATCAAAACAGTGCATATCGAAAACCAAATAAACCTGTCCAACAATAAAGAAAGATCTTGGCAGCATGTAAAACTACGGAATCATTTTTAAGGTAAGGAAAGGAGAGATTCAGAATTTTAGAAAGTTGTAAGAGATGGTCATTTTAATCCAAGAAACTTCAGTTTAAACATTTAAGCCCCATGGAATATCAATCACAGCATCCCTTAAAAAATCTTGTTTAATAACTTTCATTTGATGAGTCACAACTCGTCTGATTTGGTCGTCATCCACTTGCGAAAACCTGTTCGATCGTGTCGCATGTAAAAACAAAACATTTGCTGTTTTTAAGGTGGCTGCTATCGATAATCCCGCATTGGAATTTCATCAACAGACAACGCGTGTGCCAGTTAGACATACGACCCGGGAATTGACAAGAGCGATCGCACCACGGACACTTGATACAACGATTGACAATATAATTTGTGTCAGCCAAGGAAAACTACCTCTCAGGATGGTATATAAGTTAATTACCACAAGGACACCGTATATTTTGCGATAAAAAAACGACGACTAAATATCTTAGGAATGGTTGGATTGCGCACCACCCTGAGAGAACTTTGCACCAAAAAATCCTCATTGTTGCACCCAAAATAGATCGTCTGACGCTTGATAAGGAATGTTAAACTAAATTGTTACAGAGATTTTGATGAAACAAGCTTAATAGAAAATTCACAGATAGGTGTCTTATTTTTCCTTGGAGAACCATTATTCAAATTTCCTGGTATCACTGACATAGGTTTCACAGACTTATCCTAACGGAAACATTCCGATCTAAACAAAACAAAATTCATAATATCTCGAACAAGTTTGAGTTTTAACTATCTCCAATACATTTTTTTTAGATATAGTTCTTAACGCTGAAGGAAAGCGTCGCGAACGAGGGGTACAATACAATACTACTGGAAAAAACAAAGAGATCCTTAATATCTCAGTCGAGATTATTCTTATCATACACACTGACCTCTCAGTTAGTAAAAGTTAGTCATTATGAAAGAAATCACAGTCGAATTTATCCTGTGCACTATCATCAGATATGACAACTCGTTGAACAAATAAATTAATGGAGATTCGATAGGAACAGCTGGCGAACAATAAATGCATTACCATACGTAATTCTGAAATAGTCTTTCTTTCATTGCTATCAATATTCTTTTAATAGTACCTTTCATGCAGTGAAATCCTCATACATAGCTAGGAAAAGATAGTGTTGTTGTTAGATTCTTGTTCAAAGGGTTGTGAGCAGCGGTTATTTCATGTGTTTAAGTTTTATGACTTTCCATTACCTTGTGCTGTTGCCAGAAATCCATTGCACCTCACCAACCGTCCAATTTCGTGTGCGAACTGTAAGATGATAAGAATATTTTCAGATAACTGAATAATGTTCTTAACACGTTAAAAAGACACTATTTATGGAACGTTTTTCCATACTGAAGTTGTTTGAAACACAGTCGCTCTTTGTACGTGTGTTGTTTACAGAGCGTATTGCGCGTATGTCTAGAATCGTTTGCTCTACATACTTCAAAACATTACTGGGGTAATTACTAGGGCAATTACTAGGGCAGTTACAGACTCGTCTTACGAGAATACCTCACGGTTTTCAGTGAAGTCTTGAAAGTTTCTGTCTCCTTCTGCGTATTTTCTTGTTTTAAGGTGACTCACTCACCTCACTTTCCAGGACAGCTTTGTTTTATAGGGTACTACTGTATTTGAGACACTAGAGCATGCATGTCAGATGAAATATTTCCTAGTTTGACATCGATGAACTGAGCACATCTTAAGAATATGAACTGAAAGTCTTTTCGACATGCAATCATTGCTTGGATTATGTGACGATGAGAATTCATAATTCACCCTTAACTCAGATCTTAGAGGGACAGAAATGATAACAAAGGAATTTTACTGACCCGAGGTCGGATTCAATATGTCGTATTTCTTTGGCAACTGAAGGATTTGACTTAGAACCGTAAGTTAGAAAACTATTTCGTGATCCAGTCACGATTGTACTAAGTAACTAAGGACTTGAGGAAAAATACCTTTAATCCCTGAATTGATTCATACCTTAACCTTATAATGAGGTATCAAGACCCCTAAAAATTAATGACTTGATTTATATCCTTTAATGTTTGTGGCTAACAAGAGAGATTTTCATTCAGTGATTACACCCTGGAGGGAAACTTCGAAAAAAGGGGCTAAATTCAGCATCGGTAGAGCGTAAGAGTATAGAAACTGATTAAGATGTAGAAACTGGCTCAAAGTCACACGTGTTGCCAAGGACCGGTAGACAGTTAATTATATTAATAGTTAGAGTACTTTTGCGACTCAGAGAAGTTAAGTACCATTCTGTAAAAGGGTAAGTAAGTTTTAAGTGAAATAGAATTTACTGAACTGATGAAAGAATATGCATCGCTGTTAGTCTGCTCTTTTAAGCTTGTTTGCTAGGTGATAAAATTTTTAACTTTTGTCTTCAGGAAGGTCAGATCAATTTTGAACTCACCTTTCCAACCTGTATAACTATCGAAAAATTTGTTTATCAGTAATTCTTTACAATAGTTTTGGACATTGATTAACACATTTGACATATACTCAAAGGAATTTTGAGAAACGTGCAAATATACATAACGTCCTTTTCGCTCTTGATAGACGCACAGTAAGATATACCATTAATGAAACCAGATAGGACATTAAAGATTTGGTATATGGCGTCTGTTTACATCATAAAGAAGGGATTACGAGGACATTCTTACAAGGAAAGTAACAATAAAAGCCTTAAGTATAGAGCAGAGTCAACCTGCTAACCGTTCAAGCTGCTACATTTTGATTAGAGAAACTATACAGTTATTGATTTTAAGTTCGATGATAAGGGGATTAGACCATTTTCGGGATAATCATTAGCCTTGCTGTTTCTTTGCTTAGCTTATTTGCAGGTTCATATCGTAGAAACGATGCGTGGGCGTTTTTGCGGAAGCACTGCATTGGGAGCTCAGGCGTTGAGTGACTACTGATAATGTTATTTTAAAACAATTTTTGACTTAAGTGTATCAGCTTTTCTAGTTGTAAGACAACACGTCGCCTTTCTTCGTGATAGCTTAGCTAAGCTAAGTGCCCTTCTTATGAGCAGTCTGCCGACACCCTGGATAAAAAAATTAAACACATGCCAAGCATTTATTCTCCCTCTCAAAGGCGTCTGAGCCTAAAAATAGGCCTTGCGTTTCTTACGGCAAGTGATCGAATAATTTCCTCGGTAGTGAATCAACGCTCGTTTGCTGTTCGATACGACGATATTTTGAGTCTAATGTAATGTAATGACTTTGATTTTTATGTTACCATAGAGAAAGCACATTAAGTAATCTATACATACTACAAGTAGGAATTACAATGTCATTTAGCCAGAAACGTTTCACGTGTGCCTGAAAAGAGTTTAATGCCTTCACTTTACTCTTATGCTAATACAATTAAGCATAATGGGTAGCATTAGGCGGTATTACATATTCAGTCTGAACAAGTGGGTAACAAAATTTGCTCGTTCCGCAATGTTTGCAGTTTTTAGCCATTTCTGATATATTGTAGGATGCTTTCTGGCTGCTAATATTTTCAGTAGAAACAACAAGGAATAGAATGCATTAAAATCAACGCAATAAAGAATTCTGGCCATCTTATTAGCTTCCTTTTCTTTTTAAATGCTTTAATGGTTTCGCAAATTTTCCGCGGGTCACTAGTTTTTCTTAAATCATTTCCAAAGTTCACGTTACAGACAGTCGGCGTCAGAAAAAGAAATTCAATGGCTTGCTTTGACATCTACTTCTACTTAATACCTTGCGTGTGTGCATTTTTGGTACGTACAAATCTTGTTTACGACATGTCACTCCCACTGAAGTGCACGGAGAAAATGTATCACAGTTCAACAAACTGTTTCACCTACACTAACAAATTGGTCTCAACAGTACGTGATTGGAACGAGTTTTGATTTACTTTCTGCGCATTGTATACAGGAAACCCTTAGGTTTTGGCGAAACCACTCGTTTGATGATTTGAGTAACTCTGAACGTGTGCCAACTGCTAAGGAACACTTAAGGGCGTGAGCACAAGTTCACCTCGGAAATCTGAACTTAACATGCATGCACTATCTTTGACTGCTCTTGCCTTGAACATAGTCTTAGCAATAATTTTCAGCAGCGCAGGAGAAGGAAGGTTACATGAAAACGCAGTTCCAATCTATTTTCTTTGGGTAAATTGAGCGCAGGAAAACTATGCCGTTTTTCCCTTCAATTTTGGTCTTTTTCATTTCGATTTGTTCTAGAATTGCGCGCGATTGAAATTGACCCTACAGATCCACCCAAGGTCACAGATGTCACAGCAACTGAAAGAAGGATTTCGTCAGCTAAACGATCTCAATGCAGCACCAGACCTAGCCTTACAAGATTTAGACGAGGAATGCGCAGGTTAACAGGGAACATGGGAGTTAAAAAATGTACAAGACTGAACTGGTGGGCCTTTCTGCACAGGATTTTCGGAAAAATCCATCCAATTCGAGTTTTTGCTCTCCCGTTTTTGAAGTAAGTCTTGAATTCCAGTCCGAGACTCCTGACTCACGGAAAGGAAATCATGCTGGTTGAATGCAGTCCGACGGTTGTCGGAAAAGAGGGCTCAGACTATTGTTTTCTTCTCATTGTCTAACTCCTCGAATAAAAAAAGATTAACGATTTATTATAAATAAAATTTATAGTTCAGTTAATTGACGATTGATCTCAAATTCTCAGCTTACGTGTCTCTCTTTTCAGTAGCCGATGTAAGATTACCAGAATACCATTAGCTAAACTGACAAAAATTCTGAGACATCCCTCATCGTAACAATACCCTTAAAGCCGCTTTATGCTACGGAAACCAGGATAAGCTCCGTTTGATGAACTACTTGGTTATTTGAAGACGTAATCCTTCATGGGACAAATTGACTAACACTGTTAATCGAATTGCCTAGAAATCTTCAGAAAAGATGCTATTAAATCTCTTTGGCTATCAACTTCTTTCTTTACTTTGAGGTTAACCATTTAAACACCTAAACCCAAGGCGCCGTGAAAGAAAAAAAAAACCGTTTGTAGATTTAGAAGGGTATCTTTACTGCACACTCTCAAATTCCAAGACTGACCGACATGTTAAAGCTTTGAAATTTTGAAATTCCGAGCTAAATCCGTTTTAAGTACCTTTAACCAAAAATAAACAAATGTGGGTCGCTGATTGTCGATGTACATGTAGTTAATGATAAACTATCCGCAACATGTCAGGAGACATTTCACTTTGTCGAACATTTTCCGCATTGGCAAAGCAACATTGTCTAGTGCTTTGTTAAAATTGTTTGCTCAGAAGTACATTGACAAACCAAAAGGAGACAGACAGATTATTTTGGCTGCTGAAAATTTTTCTGGGCAGTGTGCAACCACCACACAGTGCGCGTATCTCTCAAAGCAAATGGATGTTATCTGTCGCTAATCTAGTGATTTACTGTAATGATTTTGGCAAGTTTCTCCATGACCCAGTACAAACTCGTGAAACTATTTAAGCAATGCAACCTCTAAAAAAGTTTATTTGCGAGGGGAAGCTTTATTGAGTTACACATTTAAAATGGTTGTTTGTCAATTACTAAACACCCACGCACAAACATAGCAGGAAATCGATTCCGTTGACGTTTGTTTGCGGAAGAGGTTAAAAGAAAAGTTTGTTTGCGCTCACAAGCCATAACATATGGTAAATTTAAACTAAGAGTTTGCAGCTGTTTTCAAGTTTTAATCAGTCGATGCTTCGCCATAACACTTTCCATGATTTGTCACTCCAATTTCGACTATCTATTAAAAAAAAAACCTTTCATATGAACAGATACAAAAGCGCGTGCTCCTAATATTAATATCTATGCAGCTGATTCAAAAATAACAAAATTCAATATAAACGTTAAGATTTTGCTGGAAGCCTCTGGGCTTTATGCGATAAAATAGTTTATCTCATCATACAATCAAAATTTAACCGTGTAATTATTTTTAGGTACGGCGGCAAATAGTCCCCTAAAAGCTGATAATTTCGTTTTGCCTTTCCAAGGTGATTAGTCTACAGATGTAAAACTGATTGACAAGCTTAGGGAAATGAGTGTGTTGCAACCCAAAGTGCATGTAATTTCCAAACCAGTTTAGTAACAGTGGATGACTAATTCATACCACAACCAACATTTTCTGCTTTAGTAGTTTGCATTTCCTTCGCACTGAAAGAGTATTTACTACCTAAAACTCCTGCATCCGTGAACTAGAAACATGACCCTCGAAGTCTTCGCTAAATCGCGTACAGGCCTTATAGATAATGGCTCGCTAAAGAACCCTGTAGCCAATTTTTCTTATCTTTGTGGGCGATTTTATAAGCTTCTGTGGGAAGTAAAAGACAAAATTTTATAGAATTATAAATTATAAAAAGACGTGCGCAGGAATTCACTCCCCTGGTCACGAAACACTCATCAAATCTATACACAAAAATTGCCCGGCACGTATAACACTCGAACGCATTGCATTTCTGTTTGACGAGGCTTTAAATCAAACGGTCATTAAGATCCTACATGGGTCAAGAATTTCCACCTTAAAAGTCGTTTTTCAGACATTTAATGCAGAGTAGTTCGAATTAGTGCCATCATCTGCTAAAGTTGGGGTAAGTGTTGGAATCCGGAGTATTAAGATTCCTTCAGTCTGATTTTGTGAACATGTATCTATTAGCACTGACATCGTAGCCTGATGAGATTTGTAAAATGATGCAGGCTGATACCAGCTCTGACCTCTTTTCATTAGTGGGGTTTAAGCTTACAAGAGCCTATTTTGAATAAAATATCGCTAATTCCTTAATCTCTGGGGACCTATCATTATTCGTTTAGTCGCATTTTGCCATGAAATTTTCAACAATACGCCGTTTGCATTGTACCTTGGTGACAAAGAAATATATTTTCCTATTAACATCAAAGATGAATGTGTTGACAGTCAAAGGCTGTACACTATGACAGGCAAGAGAAATAATAAACTGATTTTAATGAGATTAAAGAAAACTGGCAACGACCTGTTGATGATAAGGGGAGTGCAGTGTTTAGCTATCACCTCCCAAACTATTAGCAGACATTCTCGACAAATAATACGACCAGTTACCCAACGAGTGCGGCGGGTAATGGGATGAGTAGGAAATTTCAAGAACCGGAAATTGCAATCACCTCTTGATTGAGAGATTAGTGGTTTATATGGTTAGCCCTGTCAAAATCAGCTCGCCGGTGAAACACTTCCAAGGAGATCAAGAGGCCTGCACAACAATATAAAGACAATAAATTAGACATGTGATCCGATGAAAGGTTGCGTACATGTGATTGGTCAATTCATCGGTTTATTGACAGCCTTTGCGCTTGTGTACAATCCTCTTTGTTAAAATGCTTCGATCTCACGAGGTGGTAATCAAACTGTTTCCTGCGCTTATGAGCTTATGAGCTGTGCAAACAGGTTTTGTGCTAATTTTCCAACTCATCGTCATCAGACCAGAGCACTAGTCAATGCTCGTGCTGAAATGGCCGGATTTTCCTGCAGCGCAATTTTAGCACTCTATCTAACCGCGATAACGTTTCCTGAAGGAGACGCTCTGAGCGTGAACCGTGATAAAGCTACTACATCGCCTAGTAGTAACACGTCGCTAGCACATGTTAAAACTCCGACGTCAATTCCCACTTCAAATGGATATGTGCAAGATCAGAAACCAACCGCCAGTGGAAACAACGACCTATATACCGAGGATTCAGATATGTACAAATTGAGAATCGAGATTATCAAAGCCAAAATACTTAAAAAACTTCAAATGGACAAACAACCAGTCGTCCACATAGAAAAAACAAAGGACAAAATGATCGCAGACCTTCTTTTAAGTTTAAATCTTATTGATATGAATGACGATGACAGTGAAACGGAAGAGTACGAAGACAGAAAGTATGACAAGACGAGCAAACTCATTGTTTTCGGCGAAAAAGGTAAGAGGAACAATTTTGCGTGCTCTAAGGGGTAGATACGAAGTCGCATTTTGTCATGTTTCTCCACAGATTATTTCCATCAAGGTCATGGTCCGGCTTTCAAGTTTTGCCTTTGTTTTCAGGACGTTTTGATACCGGCATGGTCAAGAGGGCAGCAGTTAAAATATTTCAGCATATTTCTTGTCAATTCACTCGTCACCGCAGACAGTAACAGAGCAAAGTTCAAGAGCTAATGTTGCAACAACTTCATAATTACACAAAATGCTGCCTTGACGTTCTAGATATTAGTTCTCGGCACCTCATGCGGTGTTAACTGAAATAACGTGTTTTGTTTTGAATTCTGCTTCTAAGTTAATGGTCATTGTGTTACGAACATTAGGAGGCGGAGTCGCTCTATATGTCCTTTCACAACCGCTCAGAGAGTGCTTTGGAAATTGTTTTAGTCCTGTCACGTAGGTTTATTGCAAAATATGGAGGGAGAGTGAACCAATTTTCGTCATTCCTTACTTCATTAAAGCCTTGCATCGGTAGCTTGTAGTTTATCTTCAACTAAGGACACGGAATCTTAGAAGCATGTGCCATTCTACCATCTCACATTAACAAAATTATCCAGACAGTACCTATGAAAGAATGTCAAACTTTATATAAAAGGAGGGGCACTAGGAACAATTGGTATTAATTCAAACAACAGTTAATAGCAGGTGAAACAATAGGATGCATGCAAATAATCAAAACCTTCAATGTTTTCATATTTGACAAGTATGTGGTATACAAACGTTCTAAAGAGGCATACAAAAAAAATTCACATGGGCTAGCTTAAATTTTTTCGCTGCTAACTGATTGATGATCAAATATCCCTTCTAATTATGTTACAAAACTATATTTAACTTAGTCTAATGAATTACCCGCTTTCTTTCTCTTCAATTTTAGCTAAAGTTTCACCTTCGAAATCAAAGCGCAAATTTTCCGAGAAGTTGATTTTCCAGTTTAGAATTGAGCCAAAATCGCTGTCCAGTTTAGTGCCCTCTGCGTTTCTGTGGGTTCATAAACGGAAAAGCAGACAACACGAGCTAAGGAAGAAAACACTTCACATTTATGCACATGACAAAGAGTCACCCAGAGGCACCTCCAAAGTACCAATCCGCAGAACGACGAAGACCAAGTTAAAATCAAAACGAACTGGCTCAGGATGGGAAATGATAGACGTGAAAGAAATCGTTCGGCACTGGTTTAACAAGACAGCTAACCAATACGATGCTGGCAATGGAACTGGCAATGGAACCGACAATGGCGTACAGGCCTTAGAAATCTCTTGCCTGGACTGTGATTCGAACGTTAGTCAGCTAATCAACTCGCGAGGCAGACTAAGGCCATTTCTCGTTATCGACTTAGAGAAGCCAAGAACACTGAAGAGGAAAAAACGCGAAGATAACGGTTGCCCTGCCGGGCAAGCAGTATCGTGCTGTCGCCGCACTTTTTACGTGGATTTCGTCAAAATTGGCTGGGATTGGGTAATACATCCGCAGGGATTCTATGCCAATTTCTGTGAAGGTTCTTGTGACAGCCTTCATACGAGAGTTACTAGTGAACGAGCCATCATACTGCAAGAGGCGGCAAAAAAAAACCTGGGTCCACCTGCTTACACTGGTAGTTGTTGCTCCCCCACAAAAATGTTGCCCTTTTCAATGCTGTACTGGGACGATGAGTATAACATTGCAAAAAAGGACCTACAAGATTTGAAAGTTAAAGAATGTGGCTGCTCTTAAAATGCAAAGGAAGACATAAGTAGAGCCATTGACATCCGCAGACGCGTTTAGCTTATTGAGTCTAAAGGTAACAAGGCTGTTTGAAAGTTAGCTATCTATTTTTGAAGCAAATTTTTTGACGTGGGATGTTGGATGTTTAGATTTAAGATGAGAAAAAAAAAGGTGACTTTAGTCTTCATATATAAATTCCTCAAAAGAGTACAGAAGAGAAATATGATAGCCTCTTCAATACCCCGAGGCATTATACCTCTGAAGTGACGATTTTATTGGTTTTGATACGTAAATACCTTGATCATTTAACCTCTTCGAATTCACGTAGAAGTGCAATGTTGCTATTTGATATCGAGCTTAATGCTCATCTAGGGCTTTGATTTATTTTTGCACGCTAAAGAAACAAACATAACTGATAGAGTAGAGTATTTAAGACGATGAACTGACCCCTTGTAGCGCCACGTGTATGATGCCCTTCGATGGACATAAACTATTGTGATGTGATAATTTGCTAATTCCGGTGGCGCTGCGAGATAATTCGGGTGTTGATGTCCATCTCAATCACGCCTATCTTAATACCAAATTGAAACTGGAAATGGCAAATTTATCTTACAAAAGAACAACTGATCATCGGCAAACAAGGGATATATATACATGTATGTTAGGAATGACGCTCTGTGGGGTTGTCTGAACATTGAGGTCTTCCATATGCAAAGCATTGCGGAAAACCATTACTAAATGTATCACTTTGCATGCAAAGTAGGTTTCTAAAACCATTGTTTAAGGATGGTTGAAAAGACAAATTGAAAGCAGAAGCAATATCAAAACCCTGTTGATCAATACTGATTGTTGAGAAATAATTGTTAGACCAGGAGCAAGGGAAGGGGGTTGATGGCTGACTCCTAACATTGAAATTCTCCGTCTGAAATACTACCTAATTCAAGTTTATGGTTCTTAATTCGGTAGTGGTTTCATATCATTTGAGAAGGAAGGGCTAACAAATTTTTTTCAGGTGATAGGTGGTTAATACCCCAAAGTTCAGTAACACTTCCCCAACCAACGGACCTTTGCGAGGAAACCGTCTCCCTATGAAAGACAAAGAACCCAAGTCTGACTTAGAGAAATAAATACTTTGATATTTTAAACAGCCTCATTTCTTCCTGAAACCTGGCACTCAAGTGCTGTTTAATATGTTCTTAAATGCAAGGTAAAAATCTGAAAGTTGTTCTGCATTATACTACTATTAACTCACTTGTTGTGCGCTCAAAAAAGCGGCCGGCGGAATGATTTGAAATTTTTCGTAAATTTAGAGAGTATATAATGTGGCACAGCCGTTTGAAAAAAACTTTTTGTAAGGTAACTTGGTGAGATTTTCTGTGACGAGTGTGTTAGTTTTTTTTAATTTTAGACCTGTGAGGCAACTTAGAATGTTTAGTAGGCAAGAAAAACACACGATTTTTCAATAAAGTATTGTTTTCATCCTATAGATTCCACGAACATTTATGTTTTTCTTAACGAGGGGTAATTAGTATATTTTGGGAAGCAATGGATACCCAATTTCAGACCAGTGGACGGTCTCGTTGAAAAGTTCTTTTTTAAATGCAGGGAGGGGAAGAGAATCTTTTAGTTCCAAATTATCTATAAGAAGGAGAAAGAAAGTAAAACTAAAAGCAGCTTTCACGCCGAATGGCTTAACCTAATTAAGTCACATTCAGCCCGAGCTCGATATACGAGAACATCTGCACTCGATTGTCATTACGTAATAGAATTCGTGTAAGTAAAATCCTGACATTCGGAGCCAAATATCAGGAATGTAACCGAAAAAGAATTGGATATTTCGCCCCATTCGAGTGTTTCTAAGTCTTCAGTGAGGTTTTTAGGTCGAGTATGGGCTATTTAGGCGGTTTTAAGTTCCTCCGCTTTTTTATGTACATATATTTCCCAACACAAATCTTGATATTCTTTCTGTTGCGTAATAAAAAAGTACCGAAAGGTTTACTCATACATCGAAGTGAAGCTTCCTGTTGTTCAGTTGCAAAGGAAAAAGCGCTTTGAAGAAAGAGCGTCGCTACATACTCCAGTAAGTAATTTCCTCCTTCCCTCAAATGTATACAGAATAGGAAGTAGGTCCACTGAATTTTCAAGCCAAACTACGCTCGTTGAGACGACTGGGTGGGGTCAACACCCAGAGAGGTGCTGTAAAAGCTTGTTGTACGGACAGTTATCAGGAACCCAAAAAGATCAATCGTCACATTAGAACAATGGCAAAACTCCCCTAATAACGCAAATGAAACACATGAACCAGTACGTGCCCCATGGGGTACACAAAAACATCACGTCCGATAGTCAGACGTTTGCCCTCAGCAATGTTTTTCAAATCCAGCAAAGTTGAAGTCGTCAAAGGTCACTAAAAATTTACTGTTGATGAGTGTCATATGAGAAGAGTTCGTTTCATTTACCAGATAACATTTAAATTCTTTAGGATCACCCTGGGAAAAAGTATCAAATTGAAATTTAAAACTGAATAGTTCGGCGGGTATCGGAGAAAAATGTAATGTTGGATGTTTGCTTTTGATGTTCTTGAAATTCTTTTAAGAACTTAAAATAGTACCAGATTCTCTAAGAATAGCCTTTTCCAGGTGCTCAGTTAGTAAAACTGATGGATATAAAAAAACGGGGCGATAGTAGTAGCAGAGCGCAAAAAAGGAAGTAGATTTGGGTCGGGTCTTGACTCGACCCAAACCTCCCCTGTTTTTTCGCCAAGTCGCTACCATCGCGCCATTTATTATCAGGCTTCGTTTTATCGATTGAGCGCCCGTAACAGGCTACAATAAGAGAGAGAAAAACTTTTTCTTCTAAACAAGAAATCATACGATTAAAAACGAACTCGGAATAACGACTTATCCAGCATTTTGATATGAGATGAAGACGGTGTTTAGCGAGGGGGGTGGGAATGGGGGCTCACCTAATTTTCTAACAATTCGGGTCATGGATATTTTGCGATCTAACATTTGCTTGAAGTGAATTACTTCAGTTCATATGTTAATATAACGACAAAAGAAGAAACCATTTAAATGAATGACTAATTGCTCAATGAAAGCCAGGTGGCAATCGCCGTGAGATAGAAGGAAACTCTTTTGGCTTTTCTCCTATTTTTTTTCTTTTGCTCTAATTTGATCGATGCACGCCGTTGGAATTGTCTAGGTGACGTTTGCGGTCCAGCCAGGAATACATGACTAATCTGATTATGAAAAAACTGGCTCAGAGGGAGAGACTATTCATTCGTACTGAGACTTTTGCTTTGCGTCGACCAGGAAGTGAAACAATTGGTTGCTGACCAACCGTAAATCCCTAGCAACGGGCTCGAAGAATGGTCTTCGAGAATTTCGAGTTTTCCGGTTCATTTGTGTTTTATGGCACTTTGTAATAACTTGCCCTTTTGTGATAGGTTCTTGTAACACAGTATTATTTCACAGATGAGGTATTTTCGGATTCCCTCCTGCGAATAATAGTTTGTCAAGTAGCAGTTCGTTGGCGTTTGAAAAAATAAATGGACACATTACTCCAACAGTTACTTCAAGAATGATAAGTCCCAGGAAACATTTCAACAGTTGCTCTGAGATATCGCCGATATCGGCGAAATCTCGGAAGAACAAAGCACAATGTTCGACGATAATCGTTTGTATTACTTTTGGACAGTACTGTAATTTTGGCCGTGATGTTGAGATTAGAATTTGCGTCAAGATGTTGTTAGAAATTGCGTAGACCGACGATTATTACAAAATGTTACAACCCTTATTACAAAATACTGCAACCGTTATGACAAAATGCGCAGGTTGTTTCAAAATACGTTTTTATTACAAAATGTCGCAGCGATAATTTTTTAAAAACGTGAAGGTATTTTGACTTTTTTTCCACCAAGGTAACCCTTTAATTCGTGAAAGTCACGGAGTCACACCAAAATGTATCTTCCAAATCAGCGCTTCATTTCCCTTTAGAATTCACGCAAGCTTCTAATTTGATCTGCGTTGTAAACACACACACACACAACCCCAAAATCCCTTAGTTTGCTCCGACATAAAGCTAACCCTGGAACTGATTCAAAGCTTTTCAAAATCCCTTCCCGCTGACCAAGGGTTACTGCTCAAAACGTCCACTTAGGAAACTCTTCAGTTACAGTGGTCAGTTTGCGTTATCAATTCAGTTGATTAAGTCAATTATGTCGTTGTGATCACAACCGATGCAGTACCACAGCTTCTTTATAAACTTACCCCCTTTTTTTTCTGGCACCCTACCTACCTACCTCGATCAACTTGCGGTTGATAAGCAACCAATTCATTGGCTCGGAAATATACCACTGTCACTTTTTGGATGTCATAACACTGTCGGCCGGCTGCGAAGGTCAAAGTAACTGCTCGTAATTATTATTAAATAAATTTCGCAAACAAATTCACCGATCTTTCTTTCGCTCCAGTTATTGGTAATTATCAGTTATTGGTAATTATTGGTAATTATTGGTCCAGTTATCTCCTCTTAGAGTTAACATATTGACTCTTGCAGAAGGTTATATAATGTAATCATTGCTAGACATCAATCCATAATAGCGTAACCGAAATTTTCCCGTTATTAGTGGATCTATAGATGTGGAGCAAATATGTCTTCATATATACTTTTAAAAGTGACTCAGCCACACTTTGTCAAAGGGCGCCAAGAGTAAATTAAGACACTCGGCTCAAATTACTCAAAATGTGTATGCAGTCAAACCGAAGTTCCTACTTCAAAACGAGCAGGAGCCCTGGTAACGTTGATGGGCTCCAGATGCTGGTTGATGCATCAAGAGAGGCTATACGAATCAATGTTTGATTTTAGGCGCTCTATCCAATCGATCTTCAGCGCAATTGTCAGCGAAAATGAATTAAGAATCCGCGCGACAAAAACATTACATGCGATAAATTGAATTATTCCTAAAAGGTGACTTCTCATCGACTGATATGTAAAAAAATTGACCGATATTATATCTCTAACCACAATGAATGAATGTCACACCTAGCCATTCCCCCTTTCCCCTCCACCTCCCCCTAAAAAAAGGCACTGAAACAAAGGATTTTTTTGTCAGAATAGTCCTAGGGATATGGTCGTACACGAATGTTTACACCATGGTTAACAACTAGATTAACTGAAGAATTTAGATATATGAAAATTCACATATTTGCACTGCGGTGGAGAGATGAAATTAGAAGATCTTCGCAGCTAAGAACACTACTGAAACTAGTAGTTGTAAATAGGACCTGAAAAAAATTCAGGCCCGTACGGGATTTGAACCCATGACCGTATCGCAGAGGTCATGGGTTCAAATCCCGTACGGGCCTGAATTTTTTTCAGGTCCTATTTACAACTACTAGTTTCAGTAGTGTTCTTAGCTGCGAGGATCTTCTAATTTCAACTAGATTAACTGTTATGCCAGCTCAAAATATACTTGTATTTCCAAGCCTCTAGTTGTTTCCATTCTAAATCAGTATTGTATGATTTCAACCTATGAAATGCAATCTGTGTAAGGCATTTAATCTCGGTAAACGATTGTTTAGGGATCTCTCAATAAGTTTATAACAAGCTTCCTTCTCTACAATGAACCCAATCCCTACGTCCTGTAGCTACTCAGATCTTTCACGGGAAGCTCAAGAAAAACTTTCAGTTCCAACTTCGTGAATAGTTTTAAAGTGGACCAATTTCACTTATGAGACATTTGTCGATCTTGCATTATCTCTTTCGTGGTTGGTAAAAACAAATGGTTTCCTGAACGACTCTACGATGCGTTTTAAAATATCCCGGAGCCTGGGATAATAATCTGTAATATTCGGCGTTAAAAGAGTTAATGGGGCCTACAGGCCTTGGTTCCTGGAAAGCCTTTCCCTGATTAGTCATCCTATCGATTATTTATCACTAGGATAATTAATCTAGAAATAAAAAGACGTTCCCGAAAGTAGGTTTTGTCCCTCGAATAAATAATTTTGAACACAAAACAGTTTGATCGGTTTAACGAATTTATGCGTGAGGAGAAACGGTAAAAAAAGGAGAAAGGAATGTCGAAAATTGAATTAAAGGAAGTTGAGAGGAAGGAAAGTGGAAAACAAACAGTCAATAAGGAGAGTCGAACAATAAGCCATTTTGTTTGTTTTGACAAACTTTGATTTACTTTTTTCCCTAATTAGTAAGTTAAACGATCTCAATAGGTGTCCTGAGTCTAACCTTTAATTTATCCCTAAGATAGAGTTTTCGAGATAGTGCTTTCAGACTAGATTTTTTTCCTGGTTAAAGTGTTTTCATCGTAGATTAATGATGGTAATGGGACCGAGAGGAGTCCTATTCAGTCTGTAATCATACAGGTGATTAACAAAATCAGACGACCGCAAAGCGAGAGTCCGATTTGTCAATCACAAGCATGATCACAGACAGAATTGGACCACACGAAATCTTGTTACCATTTAATCATAACCGTTAAAATTACCGAAAACAACAAATGCACTTAGGACAGATATCTCCGGTGGAGACAATATCTGAAGTAAGACATTCCTCCATTTTGGAAATTCTTCCTTTTTGTTTGGGGGGGGGATAAGTGGTTGTTGTTATGGTTATCGTGATCAATTATGTCATATGCAGATATGGCTGAGTAGAATTAGTATGATTGGCTGCTTGAACTGTCCGATCACAATCAACTGTCCGATTACACTATCCGATTACAACTGTGAAAGATAAAGCAGCTAATGCACCAATCACATTTGAGGAAATTGGAACGGTTATGATTAGACCTCATTTAATCAGCTTTCTAGGAACCGTGGCCAGAAAATTTTTTCACACATTTGTTAGAGAAATTCCAAAAAAATATCATGTAGATTCGAAAGCGTTTCCTCTTTACAGATGGTAAATGGGAATTTTTCCCTACTTAACACAGATCTTAGGTAAATATTACATCAAACTGCAAAAATAATTAATGGCAAACGGTAAGAAATAATCTAGTGATGTACATTCATCGTAATGTAAGTCTTTTAGCTGTGAGTATGGGATATTTTTCTCATTCTGTTAAATTTGTATGTCAATGAATTGAGAAGTAAAGGAGATGTTACTTACATTTTTCCACTCGCCTTTGTAATAAACGAAGAACTTTTTAATATTTTCTTTAATTTAGCGTTCTTGTCCACGAATCCTACTAGAAACTTCATGTCTAAATTTAAAGAATTAAATCGTGACGGGTCTCAACCGACTGACGATTTGAATTTGTAGCAAATTAAATTGTAAGCGGACCGTATTCTCAAAAAATTAAAGTTAAAACGTCAAGAAGGTATCAACAAAATTCAGCTAAAGGTTTAACATACCCTCTCACGGCGAGGCTGATTCGCTCGGTTTGGTTGATGAGTTCCTTGCTTCAGCCCTCGGAAATAAACTTTATATCCTGAATTTTTCCTTTGCAACGGTTTCATGCTCCTATTCATCCAATTCAAGGTAAAAGAATTTCATTGAAGACTGTAAATCAGCAAAAACTTCTCGGTGAGATCTGTTGTCCATTTGCAATTTGAAAGAACAGCACTCACAACTTCACTTGTGCCACCCGCGTCGGGAATTTCCCGCGCTTAGCAAAAGGTGTAATCACGTGACGAGATTAAACCAATCAACTGTGGATGGGAAGCTGTGGGTGGAGGAGTAGGAAGGGTGTAGAGTTTCTATCGGACGCCCATCGAGCTTTAGCAATTAATCAATAAACAATTTGGTCCTTTAGATTAAAAACTGGTCAGATTTACATTTGAGAATTAACAACTGCAATTGCAAGTTCTGCAGATTTTTATGTTGCTCTTAAGAGCCTTATTTCAAAATATCAAGGTTGGTTACTGTTTTTGGTGATCATATCAGTCTCAGAAGAATAAAAAAAAGCACTCATTTCGTTTTTGAGCAAATTCAGACAGTTTACTTTATTCGTGAATGCAAATCAACTTTGTCAGAACTTAAATATAGTCCCGGAGATACCACGAAGGTTTTCGAGTCCTTAGGGATGGGTACTCATGTATGGAAAGCCCTGATTTTGCTTCTCCTACAAAGTGACCTCTATGTCTGTCTTCCACATGCGACTTTTTCCGTTGAGGATAAAAAGATCAGTGCCACATAAACAGTTCTGGATCTGCCTGGGGATCGGGGAAGTCGGGGAAGGGTCATGGAAAGGGTCATGGAAAGGGACTGGAGGATTTTGGGCGGTGATTTTCAGTTGAAACGGAGGGGAATCAGTCGTCTCCAAGAGGGTCAAAAGGGAAGGACTGTAGATAACGGACTGCCTATTAATTACCAAAGAGGGAGATCATAAGAACACTATAGAGCCTTTTATTATTATTATTATTTTTTTTTTTGGGAGGGGGGGGATTCTGGTTTCTCTGACCTCCCCCTCCACCTGGCGATAAAGAATGATCAGTCCCCAGGGCTAAGCCTTGATCGGTGCGCGCCAAGCATGGTATTTTGCACTGAGGGCATCAAGATAGCTTTTAATATCGCTGATGTCAGATATGTTAGGGATTGACAGTAAAATTTCCTAGTATTCGCCTACGGCGTTCGCTACGATTCACTACGCTCGCATAGCTTCATATAACCGAAAAACCTGATCATCGATGTGTCTAATGCGACATTTCAAAATGCCGGATAGCAGCCTCTTGGGGAAGCTTGAAAACAAACTTGAAGCGCCAATAAACTGCCATAGGTGTGAAAAAATCGTCGGTGGTACCCAGCAGATATAAAGTGGTATTTGCTGGCTTAGCGATCTGATCGAGAAAAGGAATTGATAGCTTTACCCAGCATAACGCTCATCATGATTTCTGTTTCTCTTTAAGACCCACCAATGATGTAGCCAGCTATAAACCTGCTAGCAAAGACAGCTGACAGGCATGAAAGCGTTTTCAACCACGAAGGATTTCCCCGCTGCTGATGAGTAGATGAATTCCCTCAGGAGGATTTTAAGTTTTATGCTTCCCATTTCTCATGCCGTCGAAAACTCACCTAAGACCGCCAACTACTTCTACGTTGTCTAAGTTTTCAAAACGTGGGGGGGGGGGGGGAATGTGAAGGTTTTTACGTTTTTATGTCATTCATTAAACGACGTAAAATACGTCCTATCTGAATCGTCCCCCACCGAAAAAAAAAGTTCACGCCTCGCTCGAACTGCCCCTGGTTCTTCTCCCATCGCTATAACTAATTTATCAAGTCGTATTTAACTGAATTAATTATTCACAGCTTTCGTTGAAGTTGAATTTCTCACACTTGTTTTGATTTGTTTTGGTTTTTCAAGAATTCAAAACTATCCTAACCCTTCTTCTCTTACAAGGGAAAGGAAAAAAGAACTACGCAGGTTGAAGCAGAATTGGACCAATATTTCCTAAGGCTACCTCATCAATTTCATAAACCTCCCCACCCTCCCATCCCCCCCTCTACGTGCTCTTAGTTACAAGTATTGTGAGTTTTCACGGAAACTGAAGAAAATAATCAAAAGTGAATAAAAAAGAGTTTCACATGCAACCAACCATGATAGAGCTTTTATTTCTACTGTTTCCAGCTATTTGTTTCAAAGTCCAAGATGCTCTCTACGTATTCGTGCTCGTGGGTTTGAAACGGAAAAAGAAGTACTTAAAGTTTTTCCTGGTCGTAAATTATCCATTTTTTCTGATCACTTATTCGTGAACGTGGAGATATATATGGTGGCAGTTGCAGATGTATAACTTAAGATTCTTTTCTCTCCAAAATTGCCGTCCTAACGTTTGCCATAATATTTAACTGAAAGTCTTTTTGCGTTTTTAGTAGTAACTACAGCTTCCCACTCTCGGGAAGCGGATGTGAAATATGTCAAGTTGTGGGCGTCATAAAATAACAATTGGAAACGGAAACAGGACGTTAAAGTACATTACGTAATTTCAGAATATATAAGTTCACTGATACTTCGCTTTTCTTCTCGTCCTTGTCAAGTTATCGCGTTTTAACTTCGTTGAAAAACCGTCTTGAAGACTTCGTGGTCATAAACATTTCCCAGTCACAGGTGTACAACAATACCTCAATTATCTTATCACCTTTTATCCAATCACAAGGCTCTAAATTAACACGTGATCAGAAGCGTGCAGCTGAGCCTGGCATGGCGCGGTCGCGGAACTGAGAGGTGGCAACAAATATGGCGTCTGAAGAAAGTTTGGAACATGCTGGCCGTTTTTGACGAGGGATTGTGGATTTTTTGACATGTATTTTAACGATATGGCCCTGGAGTTAAAGTTACACAGTCCTGCCGGAGCAGAGTCTATTGTCTATTCGTGGCCACTACAAAAATCGGTGAGTTTCTCCGCTGGTATTTGGTTAAGTTTGGAATTTTGTGGCCAAGACATCTTCTAACTTAGGCGCTGTTTGACATATTTATCTAAACATTCATGCGATGATTTACTTTGTAGGACGGACGAGACGAGGCAGCAGAGATTGTTGAAACTATCAGGTAAACTTAAACAGCGTAGCAGATTTACTCGTGGTGACAAGGCTTGGAAAATTGTAGGGAACACGCTCTAATTTTGTTAGGAGCAGGTAACTGTAGCTTCTATCGACCGCTCTAACTCACGAATTTACCTATTTGTACCGTTTTCCTAGATGGGTTTGTGCCGATTTTCCAGAACTGAAACTCGCTGTCGAGCACTATGTTCTTCGTGAGTTTGATCCAACCAGGTAATTGTATTTATTCTCTGTTGTTTACAATTTACAAATTGAGGTTTCGTGTTAAATAAAAGTGAAACTAACATTGCTCATTAATATAACAGGTGGTATTTGTCCAGTCCGAAATCGTAGTCCTTGATCATTGACACATTTTATTTTTTACTTCAGCTACGAAAGCATGTCCAAACTTTGTGAACGGTACAATCGAGCGATCGACGGAATTTTACAATTGGTGAGTACAGTGGCGTGTATTTTCTGACACCACGATGTGCTCTACGTTTCGACTAGGGCGAATCAAAACGTTGTTGTTCTTAACTTTAGCAGGGTTCGATTAAGAATACGAAAAACAGGGTTGGTTTTTTATTTTTGTGAGACAATTTTTATCTGTAAGATAAAGAAAGTTGGGCGATTTTGAGGTTTTTGGGGAGCCGTCTCATTGGTAGTGAAATGCTGTGCTTTGAGACATGCCACCATGTTTCGCATACCGGAAGAGGGTATAAACAACTCAAGGAGATTATAGTCACACGTTGGTAGACAACGGATGGGAACTCTTTTCCGGTCATAATTCTATCTTTTTTGAGGTTAACCAGTAAAGATCGAAATAATTTTGCAGATGTTAAAATGTACACCATATGGTTTTATGCCCGTTTAACGGTATGCAAGAATATTTATATCCTCTACGTATACTAACAAACGTCTGATTGAATTGTAATCATTGTCAAAATATAAAGTTGAGAAATTTTCCCATTTCGTATTATTTTAGCAAAAGAAAGAACACCTTGCTCAGTTTTCTTATGCTTTCTGCCTTCGATGTACATACTATATCACTTTAAAAAGTTGTGATAAACTTCTCAGTTTGACTTACATGAAAATTTTTGCATAACATATGCTTGCCTAATACAATTCCCTTCCTAGTGAAGGTCAACTTCAGGAGTTAACACTTAAAGGCCTAAGATCTGTTAACTTGCAGTTCTCCCTTCTAGTTTCTGTACATTTCTGGGTAAAATAGTCAACAGAATTAAGTTGAGATGCTCATGTATCTGATCTATTTCTGAACACCAACTTCTAGACAATGTTGATATTGTTTGGAAAAGTGACATGTTGATCACTGTCTAAGAGTAAAAGGATTACTGATTATTGGATATGAAAACAATGAAATTTTTTGGGCAATCATGTTTTTTTTCCTTTTATTTAAAAAAAAAATGACCACATGTACAGTCAATAAAAGGCTATTCAGCTTTTTTGCTCAATCAGATTTGATTTGCATTATCCTTTTAACCTTTTCCACATTTCTTTGTGTATTGTATCTTTTCTGAGAATTTGTTTTTTGGTCATGAAAAATCTGGGGTTAAGCATCTTCCCATAAAAATGCAGAATAATCTCTATCTTTCTTTCACCTTCTATGGCTGTGACTACAGTATCTGTACCTTCTTATTTCTTCTGACAATATCACCCCTGAATTAAACCTGAAGTTCATGAGAATAAAGGAAATGATTCCTTACTAAAGAAGCTCTTGATTGTTAAACAAATTCTCTTTGTTAGCACCAAGGAAGTGTAAAAAAAATCAAATCAGGTATTGGCCATTTTAAAAGTGAAAATTTTGTTTGCATTGGAATGTTGGATCATGAGATGTGTCAGGGTTGTCACCATTGTGTACATGATCCTCACAGGACTCATGAATCGAAGAGCTTTTTGTTTCTTGATCATAGTGATTGCAATTAGAGTCTAGTGGGAAATTCAAATGTTAATGTTGCTTATATTTGTTTTCAGTTTTTGTGCACTCTGGTTTTTGCTTTGTGTTTGAACTAATGAATCTTTATAATAAAAGAAATTTTCATCAGTGCAATGGAGACCTATTTTGCTTGAGGAGACATGCATTAGCCCTTTTTAGCCTTACATCAGAATTCCTATTCTTAGTACCCTTATCTGTAAATTTCTTGTCACTCACAAGGATAATTTAGTTAACCATCAGTTGGAGATCATTTCCTTCATTCTCATGATCTCAATGAATGATATAGCACTATTACAATAAGGAGAAATTAGATGTTGGTCACTCTTAGGGTTAGGGTTTAATTTTCAGCATTACTGTGCAGAGTGAACCTTTGGCAATTTCATCTTTGAAGTCATTTTAATCACACTTATTATTTTTCTAGTGGAAAGGTTGTGCCCCTCCATCTTGTATTAATGTTCCACCTTCTCAAGAACTTCTGCGTCACATTATACAGCAAGTGTACAGTCACTCTGTCAGAGACCCAGACAAGCTGAATGATTATGAACCATTTTCTCCTGAGGTAGGATCACAATAGCTAATTGTCCTTAACCCTTTCACTCCCAAGATCTCCTCAGTAATTCTCCTTACTGTCTGCCATACAATTCATATGATGTTAGTTTAGAGAATTTAGAGTTGGATCAACAAATGATCCCCTAATTGATATTTTTCTTTATTCTCATAACTTGTCTGCTTGCTATTGTACTGATAGTGTAAGGAGAAATTCTCTATAGGTCACTAGTGGGACTTTAGGAGCTTTAAACTTTACAGCCACTTTTAGACTGTATCCATACTATGCTGGTTATATTTTTCACTTCACTCTGAGAAATGGATGGTACATTCTCCATTCACAATACCACAATCACCGTGTTCAAAGTGCTTGAATGCATTAGTTGACATGCAGATATTTAAGGTGTAATTATTCTGCTAAAGGTGATATCTTTGTTTTAGAAAAGCTGCAAATGTTTGTGTCAAATCATGCACATTAAATTGAAGTTATCATAACCATTTTGTGTTTACCCTTTTGTTGGTAAATAATTACCAGTGATGATAATTCTTTTCCGGATAGGTATATGGTGAAACATCATTTGATCTTGTGGCTCAGATGATAAAGGAAGTGCCCATGAGTCCACATGATTTATTCATTGATCTAGGAAGTGGTAAGCAAAACATAGTCATTACTTCAATTCAGCTTTTTCTTTATTATGTCCTGTTACACAATTATTCTCTTTTAAAACTTAATAAGCCCTTTACTCTATTTAACAATTATTTGCCGAAGGTGAAGTGAATATTGGTGAATAATCCCTGAGACGAAGTTGAGTTGCATTATTGCTCAGGTGCTTTTGAATTCTGCTGTAAATTTGGTTAATTATGGAGGATTGCCTATATTTTGTTACAATTGTGGTGATTCTTATATCAAGATAGGCAAGGAGTTTTAGCAGGTTTACTTGATTCAATCAGCAAAAACTTGATATCTCTCTTTTGGAAAGTGTTCTGCTAAACTAAGTAGCATCTTTTGTACCCTTGGAAATTGAATTTCTTCTGTCATGTGTATCACTTTCTCAGAAACACTGACAAAATACCAGGCAGCCATTTTGAAATTCAGCCCTCCTTACTACATGTAATAACCTTTTGCTAAGAGATTATAGCATGACAAGATGCAATCCTCGTCCAATCAGAGCACATATATCTCTATAATCCCGGAGCAATTGCACTAAAACATAATGCATATTCAGCAGTCTGTTCTCCATACATTTTCTATGATTGCAGCAGTAAGAATTTGTTCCAAAATTAAGAGCTTAGCATGTGATAATCTGTGTCCCTGAGGGAAGACTAATAAGATGATATCAGTACTTTTCATTTGATATTTAGAATGCAATAAAAATAACTCCGCAGTGGAGTGTTTCTTCAGTGTTAACATTTACTTATGAAACTGTGGGCATATTTTTCAGGTGTGGGTCAAGTCGTATTACAAGTTGCAGCATCAGGAAATATCAAGGAATGTTATGGTATAGAAAAAGCAGACATCCCCGCAAGATATGCAGAGGTGAGTGATGTTTATGAAATCAGCTTGAATTCTGTTGCAAAAGAGAATCAATTTAAATGTGATTTTATTGACCTGCGAGGTTTTTTAAAAAAAAGTCTTCCAAATATATTTTATAAACAGGGTTTGCATGTGTCATAGGAAATTTGAGTAGTTGTGGGTTGATAATCCTTTCAGTCTCAGGAATGATCAGCACTTGCATGTCAGAAATTTTCCTTACCATGTTAAGTATATTGAAAAGTGGACAGATAATAAGAACTGTCAAAAATATATTGCACTTTGTAGGAGGAAAAATACTTTACCCGTAGATCCTGAGTGTCAAAGGGAATGAAAAGTTTTTGAGAAGTTGATGTTTTTTTTTCGTTGCATGATCTTTTTCAGGAAATGGACAGGGAATTCCGTAAATGGATGCGATGGTTTGGGAAAACTTACAAACCTTACAAGGTGGGCTCTACTGTAGAAAAATGTCAATGTCAGTGACCAAGACAGAGTTTCTCCTTACTATATCTATATAAAATATCATGCAGACAAGTGATGAGAATAAAGAAAAACATCAATTATGGGATTACTAATTGATCTGATACCAAATTCTCCAAACTAACATAATGAGAATCATTTGGCAGATAGTAAGGAGTTACTAATGGGATCTTGGGAGTTAAAGGGTTAAGAAGTATGTGATTCCAATCATGAGACTATTGCCTGAAACTTTTAGATCTTGCAACAAAAATGTCTCTTACTCTTAGATGGTAATACATTTAGGTCACTTAGAGATTTTGATTTTTGAGACTGATTTTGGAACAGTAGTTTGTGAGATTTATCTTATTCTGAGCTGCAATATGTGTAGCTACGTGAAGACCAAGGGTGGAGTGAGCTTGGGTAGCACATGAAAAAACTTATGCCCCATTCACACCAAAGCTTAAACATGTTTAAAAGTTGTTTTGTTAAACACAGTTTAATTTTTTTTTCTTCATAGAAACTATTTAACCGAATATTTTTGACTTGAATGTAGCACATTGGAAATACAAGTTAGCTAGTACTTGAATCCAATGGAAAATCAAGTTTTTCAGTTCTCTGTTTATAATTTTCATTCAATGAAAACCAGTTTAACAAAACATGTTTTGCTGGTGTGAATGGGGTATTAGGTTGATACTTAACCCCTTAACTCCCAAGATCTCGTCAGTAATTCTCCTTACTGACTCCCATACAATTCTTGTGATGTTAGTTTGGAGAATTTGGTATTGGATCAACTTATAATCCCCTAACTAATATTTTTCTTTATTCTCGTCACTTGTCTGCTCGATATTGTATTGATATCGTAAGGAGAAATTCTGTCTTGGTCACTGATGGGAGTTAAAGGGTTCATTTAGATCACATACAGTGTAGCTCTTACTAATCCTCTTTTGTTAAGGTAATGGAATGAATAATTTCCTAATTGTAATTTCTTTTGTAAATATATGCACACATTTGAAATTTTTTGTAACAAGTCTTTTTTTTTATCAATAGCTCGTAAAGGGTGATTTCTTAGAGGATAAAATGAGAGAAAAGATACAATCTGCTGGGTGAGTAATCCTGCTGTGAAGGAGTAAGAAAAACAAAATTATTCTTCATTGCATCAAATGCTAGATATGTGTAGGAATATTTTAACATTCTGCAAGTCAATTCAGCTAGAGTGAAAGTACAAAACAAGTTATTGATATCATAGACCAGAGCATAAATTGTCTTTTCCAATATTCATATCATTTAACTTTAGGATTGTGTTTGTCAACAATTTTGCCTTTGGACCAGATGTTGATCACAAATTGAAGGAAAGATTTGCCACAATGCGAGAAGGTATGGCCAGTATAAAGAAAGAATTTTAAGTTTATAGTGTGCATGTCTTAAGTGGGAAGAAGTTGAGCTCTGTAAATTTTCACACAATGCTTCCAGATATTTTTTTTTGATAGCTGATTTTCCCTTTTTTTGTTGTTCTGTTTTGTTTGTTTGTTGTTTTCCTTCAAGTTTTTTTTTGTAATATAGGGTTTGTGTGTTGCCTAAAACTGAGAACTTGTGTTAATACACAAAGCTGATCCTTAAGTTTTAATAGTAGTTCAGTAGATACTAATTATTATTTTTTACCAAACTTAACATTTTATCAAAGGAATATGGTATAAATTTGTTACACCTGAGTAGAGTTAAACAGGAGTGATTCAAAACATCCTTTGCTGTTTCAGAAACCATCTTTGAAAATGAGGGGGGATGGGAAGGGTACTTATTCAAGGGGTACACAAACAAAATTTTGGCCATTTAGAGTGGTGGTGAAGTAGCAAGAGGTCTATTCCAGAGAGGTAGCAAATCCAACAATTTACATTAGTTTTTCAGTTTTGAATACTTAGTCTTGCATATAAGTAGTTGTCCACAAGTAGAAGAGTGTACATTTTCCTTATCTACTCATAACAAAAAATGTCCATTTTATATTTTTTTTCATCATTATCCTACTAACTTTGAGTTGCTTTTTCTAACAGGTGCCAAGATTATTTCATCCAAAGCATTTTGTTCCCTCAATTTCAGAACCACATCACGTAATTTATCAGGTGAGTTGTGAAGCAATCCAAATTTTTCATATCAAAGTGGGTTTGTAATTCAAGGAAATGAAACGTCAGTTTTTCCCAATGCTCTACTACTGAGCCACAGAGACTCTATGATGAGCAAGGCCCATTACAAAGTTCATGTATGAAACGCCTTCTGCAAACTGCTAGGATCAGCAATGTCATTAGTGTCATGTTTTGTAAATAGAATAAGAAAGATGGTAAGTTTTGAGCTTGACAAAGATACAGAGAAAGGTGTCTTTTCTTTGCAATGGGCCTTGCTCACCCTAGAGTCTCTGTGGTACAGCAGTAGCATTGGAGCGTGAAATCCGAAGGTCTGATGTTCACTTCCTCATGGGAATTCAGAATTTGTTCTTTGTTCCATGCTCATGACTAGACCAAAAATCATCTTACTCTACTGTTAGTTTTCATTTTTTTTTGGTTTATTTATTTTAGATATTGGCACTATACTGCGGGTGTCTGAACTCAAGCCAAATGGCCGTGCAGTGTCTTGGACAGGAAAGCCTGTTTCCTATTTTGTTCATGTTATTGATAGGACCCTGGTGAGAATGAGTTTACTTGATATATGATTTTCTTATATTTTACAGTCATTTATTCATCACTTCATGAGTTTATTTGTAGCCAACATAATGACCAGCTCAGTTGGTAGAGTGCTGCACTGGTATTGTAGAGGTCATAGGTTCAAATCCTGTACGGGCCTGAATTTTTTTTTAGACCTTATTTTTACAACTGCTTTAGTAGTGTTCGTTACTGCAAAGATCGCTTCCATATTCATGACTGATATATTGTTGCACTAATTTAATACTGCCTTTGGAAAATGGAGAGCACAGTCAGTCAGACCATTATAGACCTCATGTTTTCCTTTCAATCACTACTTTATTTGCCTCTTTCAATTTCGGACCCAAAATTTAATTCTCCTTCAATCTGTGACTATTTCTTTTAAAGAGCCATTCATGAGACTTTGTCTTTCATTAAGATACTGTCTTGAATTTGTTAATTTTCCTCACTCCTGGTAATTGAGGGTTAATGTGGCATATTAATCTTTTTCCTTAGCTGGAGCAGTATTTTGCAGACCTCAAAAGGCGAAAGGTGAGATTTGTTTAAATCTTCCCTTGCATTTCCCAGAGGAACCAAGTCAATTGTGAATTTTTTCAAAACGTCACATCACTAGTACATAAATTTTGAAGGAGGGACTGTGACTTATATCTTAAATGGTTTGTGTGCCCATCTTCAAATTGAAAACTCTACAAGTTTAGCTCCACCTAAGAGTGTGTAAATGACTTTCAGCAAAATTTTGGGGAAATATGACAAGTTGGGGCTCCTCTGTTTGTGAGAAGAATTTATCATTTTCACTACTCAGGTTCCTTGGGTTAAATGGATTATTAGTTTTGTTTGGAATGGAGGATAAATAATCTTGATTTTGTTTTATTGTATGTGATGGGGGTGTGAGGAAAATTGTGGAGGTGGCCAAAATCCAATGTAAATTTTTTCGCTCTACAAAAGACTTGTTAAATGTAATTTAAAGATGGATTCAGAAAAAAAGTTCACTAAAATCATTTGATTTTTCTCTTTGGATAATACATACAAAAAGCATTTTTGTTTGCTAACCAGCAAATTAACAAATCAACAGTGGCCACTGTCAGGATGAATATTGTTTTCAATAAGGGTGCAGATTGTGCTAAGTTACTGTAGATTTGATTCTTACCACAATATTGATTTTTCATTGCTTGACACATTGACACTAGCAGCATTGTCTCCACTTTCATCAACAATGGCAACTTGGACAATCAGATTGCAACATTACTGCCAATTGTGGTAAAATCTGGTTTATAGAGTGGCAAATGGTAAAAAAATCAATGGCTAGCACTTTGCTATAGCTCACAAGCCATTTGACCTTTTTTGCAGGAGGGTAGAGACTTCAGTGATGCTAGTAGCTTGAGTGACTCGATGGCAAGCACTCCAAACTTTGAAGAACTGGATGACGTTCTGTTTGGTGTTTCAACCAGACACCAATGGAATCAGCTTATCACCCAAATTGAAGCTACCAACAAAGCAAACAAGGGCCACAGTCGAAATTCAAGGAAAAGTCACAGCAAAAAGAGTGTGCTGCAGGAAAGGAATGGCAGTGTGAATCCTACATGGCCAGATCAAGAACAGAAAGATGGCAGCAAAGTACTGTGTTTGTTTGTTTGTTTGTTTGTTTATATCTTTCTAGTTTGCTTTTTTGATTGACTGATGCGATTCATTCTAAAATTCTCTTGCCTGACTCTCATTTATTTCTTCATAAATTAGTGAAGAGAATTAAGCTATTAACCCTTTCACTCCCAAGATCTTGTTGAGTAATTCTCCTAGTTATTTGTCACACAATTCTTATGATGTTAGTGTGGAGAATTTGGTATTAGATCAACTAATAAACCCTTAATTGATATTTCTCTTTATTCTCCTCACTTGTCTGCTTGATATTGTATTGATATTGTAAGGAGAAATTCTGTCTTGGTCATTCATGGGAGTTGAAGGGTTAAGACATTAACTAAGTAATTAATTGTGATCAGATTCCTTTATGGAAAGGAAAAAACTTAGTCAAATTGTCCTTGTTCTCAAGTTTTCTTTTGGTAACTCAGTTGCTTGTAGTATCTGGGAAGTAGGGGTTTGGATCCCATTGAAGCCTGGAATTTTTCAGGCTTATTTCCTGGAATTTTTTTCAATTGCAGCTCACTTACAAGTATCATATCCTCACTTTGATTTCATCTACAGCTCAAAATATAATTTATTTCACTTCATTATGAGAATAATGCTGATGTGTTTGGCTACTCTCATCACCTTACTGCTTGATGTTGTATTGATATCGTAAGGAGAAATTCCATTCATCTGTCAGTCACCTCTTGGAGTGAAAGGTTTAACCCTTTTCACCCAAATATTAATATGCTTATTATCCATACTGTTCTCTATACATTACCAAAGGTGCTGACAAGGAGAATTTGTTTGATAATCAAGAGCTTCCCTAGTTGGCGATCATTTCCTGTATTCTCGTGACCTTAAAGTGCGATTCAGGGGTGATATTGTAAGGAGAAATTGGATGTTTGTCACTCTTAAGATTTCAAGGGTGACGACCATTTGTTTTTTTTTTCCTAGGGACGTCAACCAACATTTGCTCAGAAAGTTCGGAAGAAATACCAAAGGCAACAAAACAAGAAAGCTCAGAAGCTAAAGAAGCGTCTTAAGAATAGCAAAGGAAAGGGAAAGCAAAAGTCAAAACCGAAGAAGAACAGTTCCATGACAAAGGTGAAGTTAAAAGAGATGTCTAAAGCAAGTCAGAAAAAGCAAAGGGACAGTCTGGCTGTAACAGCTTTGGAAAATGCCACAGTAGCTGCTCTGCAGGTAAACACGTTTATATACGCGTTTTGGCGTCCTTCTAAAGAAATACTAGTTCGTTTCTTTTTCCCCTTCGAAAATAGGGAGAGATGTGTCAGCCTAATGGGCGGCAAGGTAGACATTTGATCAGAAAACCCATATGGTTTTAAAACACCGTGACTAATTGGCTTCTGTGGTCGTTTATAACCCCTGTAAGACAACTCGGCTCCGAAGGCTTGGAAATACGCCCCCTAGCTATTACAACGTTCGCACATGCTCATACACTGTATGTCAGGGTGATTTAGTATTATCAACTGACTTGATAACGTAAATTGGCCACTGTTAAGAGTTTCAAAGCTGACATTTTAAGCGTTAGCCCTTAATCATTCGCTCTAACGAGGGGCTAACGCTCGTGAGCTTTGAAACTCTTTAAGGTGGCCATTTTACGTTATCAACTCAGTTAATAATACTAAATTACCCTGTTATACTCTCCTACCGACGCAGCACCACAGATTCTTCAGAAACCTACCCCCTTCATTCACTGTATGTTTAACTGCTTGTTTACCATAAGTTGACTGTGAGCAGGCTGCAACAGTGGGAGGCAAGGACAGTCACTGCTGTACCATCCTAAATCCTTGGGATGGCACCTTAAACCTGTTGATGTTGTAGAGACGTTGCAGATCCAACTTGAACATTTTTTTTTTAATGACCAGAATCTTCAAAGAAAGAGAGGGCAAAAGCAGGGAATGAGAATTTCATCAGCGTCGCCGCCACCCATGTCACATAATTTCAGCATAGAACAGTGCCTCCCAGCTTTGGAGCAACTTATGGGTGAGTCAGCAGGCACAAGGAGCAAGAGGCCTGGGCCGAGTTATTTTGTTTGCAGTGTTGTTGTTGTTGTCTTTGTTTCATACATAGTTAGCGTGTTCAGATTTAAATTGACTGTGACAAAAGCCATGCCTATGTTTGTTTTGCTTGTTTAGTAGGTAGTTAGGTCCAATCAAAGTAAAAAGTAAATGCATGCAAGTGGCCAGAAGAGAAGGGAAACATTATTAACAATTGGCACAGTTGGGTAGATCCACATCTATCACGATGTTGCAGAAACAGAAGAAAGACGAGAAAAGAAAACTTTGACAAAAAAATAAGGAATTAATAAAATAAGGAATTACTCGCTTTGGACTAGTGGGGCAATGTGGGGAAGGTACTTACTGATACCCATAATTCTTCACGCCGTTCATTCTCTTATAAGCTACAGAAGCTATATAAGGCAGCCTGTATGCAAACGTTAACTGCGACACTCAAATTTGTGTAAGACCTTGTGAGATATTATCCTGTTGTCCTTTCTCCAGCTGTCACTCGTTACCAGTTCCTTCATTTCATGTGCCACATGAATACCTCTGAATACAAGGAAAATCTCAAGAGGCAAATTGAAGAACAGAAGGTAGGTCTACTTTGAAAATGTTAACTTGTTGGAAAAGTTGCCGTACATCAGTTAGCAAACTTAAGAGTGAAGTATCACTTCGTTTGGTGAGGGAGACATAAAAAACCATGATTATTTTTACCTTAGGACATTTCTCCTCCCAGGCGTGTTATAATTGAGTGATGTTGATTATCACAGTTGCTTTGCAATAATTTTTAACGAATTTGGTAGTGAGTAGTACCGAGTGTTTCATCAAAAGCTGGTTGCTGGCGGTCTACCGCCGCCTGTGAGACCCCTCACCGCCGTCTGTTTAACCCTTTAAACCCCAAGAGTGACCAGCATCTAGTTTCTCCTGACAATAATACAGCTGAATCATTCATTTAAGATCATGAGAATAAAGGAAATGATCACCAACTAAAGTGGCTCTTGATTGTTAAACAAATTCTCCTTGTCGGCACCTTAGGAAATGTACAGTTAACAGTATGGAGAATATACATACTGATTTTAAGGTATAAAGGGTTAACATGCGGGCAAGCTCTTGTGTTTGGGTTTCGCGTGATGACACAGCCGCTTATTGAACCATCAGCAGTCGCTGATGGAAAAAGTCATTGAAACCCCTGGGAACTACAGGTTAAGTCGATGGAGTGTTCAAGCTGCTCTAGCGGTTCTTTGGACCACGTTTTATTTAGAACAGAAGGGAAGCACAAGATGATGTGTTTTCTTAGCTAGTAGACACAAACGTTCAGTTGAAAACCGCATTGTATAGAGTGAAATTGTTTTTTTTCCTTTAGGCAAAGAAGAAAGAATTGATGGGAAAGGTTTCTCTAGCCGAGAAACATGTGGAAATACTGCAAAAAGAAGCGCTGGGAAATCTCCGGTCACGAATGGATGAGGTAAGTGGTCTGTGACTTCCATCTTAGTTACTGGTACACCAGTGTCGATTACAACTGTGACTCTACAACGTAGTGTCTGATTTTCTCATGTCATGACTCCTAGCCGTTGAATTTTCGAGTTCGAGCTAGAACCTACCACGGTCGAACCTGAATTAAGCGGTCACCTACGGGAAATGGCGCTAAATACAGACTTTGACCGCTTTTCACAATAAATAACGCCACTTTATACCATAATCGACCACGCAATGAACAGAATCTTGCTCGAAAATACTATCAACTGTAATTTTCGGGGGAGAAACAAGGATTGAAAATTACTTGAAGGATTACCATCAGTTTATTTGAGTGGTTCCGCTTTCAATGACCGTGGAATATAGGTAGAAGACAATAAAAACAGGCCGTTGGGCCTTAATAAAGGGTGACCGCGACCGCTTAATAGAGCTGACCGCTTAATAGAGGTCAAAATTACGATGATTAAGGGGAAACAAATTCGGGACTTTGACAACTGTCCGCTTAATACAGGGTGACCGTTTGATACGGTGCCGCTCAATACAGACTCGACTGTAAAAACGCTATGACGCTTTGTAAAGAGGGACTTGGCAAGATTAACTGAAAATCAGATTTTTTCTCTGTTTCGGTGAAACTTTAATTTAGTTTAGAGCAGTTTTCAATTGAGTGTTGAAAAGCCGAAACCAAAGTAATCTCAGCGACCAATCAGATCAAAGGTTCACATCATCATTAGCCAATGAGAACTCAAAATGAAAACATGCAAACTGCTTGAAGCGCGGGAAAACGATTGGGGCGATTGTTTTTAATCTTGCATCTGATTGGCTGCGAGGATGACGCGAGTACTTTGAAGAAATCGAATAGCAAGGTTAAGTAAACCAAAAGCAATCCCTGTTTACTTTTGATATACTCAACTACTCCTATTTGCAATCCGTATTAATCCTCTCCATTCTTAACCATCGTGGTTTGATTTTGTTGGTTTTGTCTCTTTTGCTGAATTATTTTATGTTTGCCTACCCTAGAAAAATATTTTTAACAGTTTATTTCGATTTAATGACGGTTTTCTATAACACAGAAAGATCACTGAAACTTTATTGACGTGGCTTCTTTAAAGTGACCTAGATCGAAAGACGATCACTTGAATACTCAGATTTATAAAACACTGATAAGAGACATTATAATATTCTTTTTTTAAAGATTGGTTTGACGGCAAAGACGCCTCGGGAGTTACTTATGAAAGCAGGCGAGCTGTTGGGCGAACACAAGAAGATAAAGGATAGAGTGAAACGGCTGGAAAAAGAAGTCAAACATCTTGAGAAACACAAGAATTATCACTCACCCGTAAGTGTGTGTCGCTACCTCTAATAAAATGAATATCTTGACGGTGTTAGTGCATGGCTCAGGATCGCTTGTGAGGAGACAGTTTTCTCAGAGCCCACAGTACCATGCAAGACTAAATCAGGGCACCTTAACGATCATTCGCCACCTGCCAGATGGGGTTGATGCTGAATAGGTCGCCACATCATCACTAAGTGAACTTTACTTTCTTTTGAGGTTTCAACCCTAAGCCAGTTTCAATTTTGCGTCAAATACTCTATCAATTAGGTTACAAAGGACTTGTTAGCGGGTCAGGTCGTATGTTAGATTTTTATAGTGACAGGCGTATCCCATTCTGCTGGGATCAGCACTTTCAAGGGCGTTCGGTGTGGAGAGCAAGAACCATGATCAATTTAGAGGTCTTTCATCGAATAATCAAATAATGAAGTATATTTATGTAAGTAGTGTAGGTATATTTCGGCATAAGGTCATTTCTTTGTCCAGTTAAACATATTCATGATTTATAATTATCCTCTTTAACAGGGTGACAAAAACTCCACGAAGGATGGGAAACTTACCAATGGTGACTTGGACATGGTACAAAAACCGGTATGTTTAAGGAAATTTGCTGAATTGTATGAAGGATAATTTAAGGGCAAGGAAGAGATACTTCTTATTGATGGAGGTTAAAGTTTTAATAACCAAGGGGCAGAACGGACCATTTAATTCATTGAGGGCGCGATGGAGTTGACGTCCCATTTACAAGTAGCATTGGTTGGTAGAAACCGGAGTGAGACTTACCCAGGGGTAATCATTTGAAAAAAAATCCATGCCTTTTTACGGCTGTTAAATTAGTGACATTGTCAATCGTGCTTTAGTAGTTCGGGCCAGGGGCCCTTTTCTCGAAGGCCCTTGTGACTAAACTGATCCGTAAAGCTGTTTTATTTCTATTAAAGATTTCCAGGGTTTCCAAAGTTTTAAAGAATTATACAATAACACTATCAGCTGAAGAAACAAAATGGACTGGTCAGAGTGCTACTATCTGCTTCTCTTTTCTTTTTCTTTTTATTATTATTTTAAAATATGGCTTCAGGCCCTTCAGGCCGCCAAGAATGGCAATCAGTTTTTTTCCGTCTCCTTGGAACTGACAAAGCTTTATTTTTTCATCTAAGGGTGAAACCCAAGTTAAAGACAAACAGAGCTTGATGACCCACCTCTACGAAGAGTGGAGGAAGCGAAAGGCTTTGGTTGAAAAGGTCAACAGACTGGAGAGCGAAGTCGAACAGCTGGACTCCAAGAAAAAGGTCTGGGAGACGGCCAGCGTCTCATCTTCAAAAAATTTACCCTCGCCAGTCAACGTTGCGACGTATGCAAAACCTGTCACACAAACTGTTCAGCCAATTACAACCCCGTTTTCTTCCAACTCAAGCGCTCACTTGACCAATTCTCAAATCTCTGCGGGCTCACTAGCATCTAGCGTAATTTCCTCATCAAGTTTGGTTTCCAAACCTACAGTTGCCATGCCTGTTCCATCCGGGACATTTCCTAGGTCCCAGGCGTCACACGGCAGTGCACAACCTCAAATTGTCAACGCATATCACCAATGCTTGTTGCAGCCTGTAGGTCTACCAGTTCAGATGGTTTCTTTTATAGATAAAAATGGTAGACTGATAACAACTGCTCCTAACACAAAGAAGACGACTCCAAAGGGGAACAACGCCAAAAAGAAGTCCAAAGCGACCAGTCCAAAAAAATCAGAACTCAACGTGACGCTTCCGTCTTCAACAACATTTTCGAGCCATCAGGTTGTGAATACAGTTGTTTCTCCGTCAACTCCAACGGGATCACTGAAAAAGTCGCCAACGGTATCTCGCCCCGCACAGCCTCTCGTCACCTCTCCAGTGACGCCAGTCAATTACTCTGGTCTTCCCAGAAGTGCGATACTCTCGCCTGTACCTTTGGTGACATCGCCTGTGACACCCACACCAGTCAGGCAAGCGACTCCCATTACGTCTCTATCAGCGTCTGGCAGCGGAGTTCCTGCAATGGTTTCGTTTTCCCAGAATAGTCTCACGTTTATATCTCCGTTGAGTCCTATGTCCATTGCCTCATCTCGTCAACCAACATCAACTGCGACACCCCTTAGCTCCCTCTCGGCTTCCACGCAAAAATACTTGAACACGTTCGCGACTCAAGTGGCTGCAACATCTAGGCCATCCTTGCCAAACCCATCACAAATGAACCCACCCGTTTCTGTCAGTCAGTCGCCTATTATTGGCAGATCATTTCCAAACACGGACCTTTCAACCGACCACAGTGCTGGTATAAAGCTTCTCTGCGACCTGCTGAATGATACTCTTCCTGAACAGCCACCACCTGTTGCGACAACCTCAGCAATGCGATCTCAAGGAACACCTTCCTCGCATGCTTCAGTTTCTTCAACTCCAGACACCTCGAGGGTCGATGAAAGGAGTCCCGTCAACACCTCACCAACTACTCCCAGCAAGACCGTTGCTAAGTCCCCTAGGACTCCTTCCGTAGTAAACGTTTTAGTAAACTCGTTCCCAGGTGGGGTGTTGTCCTCAGCGGAACAGGCAAGCTCTGTTCGACGAACTCCAACACGCAGTGCAACCCCGCCGACAAGTAAGAAGCGAACTTCTCCTTTTACAATTGATAGCATTGTTAGCTCAAGCCCAGAGTCACAAACAGGAATTAAAAGCAGGAGTCCACCAGAGGCAGAGGTGACAACCAATCGGAGCAGCCCCAAAGGTGGAAACAAGTCTCCCTCCACAAATTTCAGTATTGCCCATATAACTCGTGACATGAACTCATCAAACTTAACAAGTAAATCCCGTGCGCCTTTCGTAACAAGCCCTGGTACTTACTCTCTTCCGCCGTCAGTTTCCTCTACTGATGGAAAACAGAGCCAGCGACGAAAATCTCCACCCTCTTCGAGTTTGTCACCTCTGGAGCAGAGTTCTCGTGTGGAATCTAGTGGCGTGATCTCCTCAAACACTGCCCAGAGGGGACTTACCCCTGTTCCTCTCATTACGGGACCTAATGATGTACGTAAGGATGGAAACCCTACTGAATTGCCATCACAAACGCAAGGAAAACATTCGTCAATGACCCCAGAGTCGATCGCGGTCTCAGACGATGTGTCCAGAAAAGCAGGTGCACGCAAAGACAGCCCAACCAATGCCACCAAAGGGGGTCCTGTGAACCTCAAAGAAACCATCCTCCCTACTGGGTCTAAAGTAACATCCCGTGGTTCTGTGGCGTCCAAGGGTGAAAGCGTGTCTAATGAAGTTTCCTCTTCAGTTTCGTCAAGCGTCAGCCCAGAACGCGAACGTGAAGCATTCTCGACTGAAAATCAAGACACCGTAATCATCCCTGACATTCCCCTCGATATGATTCCTCTCCCTAGCGGAAAGAGACCTAGTCCTAAGAAGGAAACGAGCTCCACCTCTTTGTCCAGTAGGAAGCGTTGTTCTCCCGTGCCTCCGGTACCGAAGTCCGCGAGCCCCGACACAGAAGTCAGCAGCCTTATGGCGCACGAATCTCTACCCCAGTCTCCTTCAATTTCATCGTCTGTTTCTAAGGCGGGGTCGGCGGTGTTGGATGGACAAGCGCCTGTGTTAGTAGACAGCAATCCCTGTTCTGCTCGCAGCCCAATCCCAGTAGCACCGTCTCTGATGATGCAGTCTCCTCTGGGAGTGTCGCTGCCGTCATTTGGAAGCGTGTTTTCCCTTACAAAAGAAGATGAAGCCACGAGGGCAGCGGAATTCACTGATAAAAACAGGTAAAAGCAAATAATAGAATGTTTAAAACCGAACAGTTTAGTATGACTTCAGTAAGCTCAACTAAATTTTCAGAGCTTTTAGAATGCACAGTCTTAAATTGGATCAAAAACGTTGGTAAATCAAATTTGGAGAATAATGAATTATTTTAAGAAGTTAATTTATTCAGCTTATGTTTACACGCGTTTGGCTCTTGGCAGATGAAAAGGGGGAAGACATGCATTAAATGATATCATTTCTCGTTTTGTTCTTCAGTTCTCAAGTGTCCAAGAAGCCTGACCAATCGGCTGACCAGCTTTCAGAACCTCCCAAAAAGAAACGCAAACGCAAAGAAAAGAAAGGTCAGAACAAGGCAAAAGGGGCTTTGAGTTTACTCGTTCAGTATGACAGCGACAGCACAAGCTCTGGTGGGACACACACTGAAAGTGATGACAACTCCGCGCACAGCAGTAGCCCAGTCAGCGGTACACTAAGTCCTGTTGTCGCAGAAACGAGTACAGAGTCCTCTCGAAACCAGTCTACTCGCGCTTTACCGGAGCAAAGTCAAGAAATATCAGCGAATAGCGTTTCGCAAATCAACGGGCCTGCATCAAAGAGCAGTGAAGTGAGTGCCAGCAACAACAAACGCTCCAGCAATGGAAAGAGTCCAGTGGAGAAGAAGAAGTCGAAAGGTGGATGTAACCCACGGAGTGAAGTTCGTCCCCCTCTAGTCAATCTCCATGACACAGTCAGCACAATGCAGCAATTGAAAGGTGTCCCACCCAGCCCACAATTGCCTCCAACTCCTTCTCATTACCAGGCTTATGGGAGCCAGTACTCGCCGCAAGGATTGTCGGGCTATGCTCTTCCTAGTTTCTCTCTTCCACCCGGTTCATTTAACTTTCCCCAAAGTCACTCACAGTACCCGGCGACCATTCCGCAGTACTACGCTGGGGAAGCGCATCGTGTTCCCTCCGGATACAGCACGGCACCCGGGGGATTATTCCCTCAGTGGCGAACCAGTTTCACCCCAATGCAGTGTCAGAATCCGCTGCCTCCGTCGTTCAATTATCCCAGTAACGGAAATAATGGAAGTAATGTCTATAGATAGAAAATTACTACTAGTACATCAGGATTTGATTATTTATACTGCATATGTATGTATAAATTTATGATAGTATGGAATTGTTATTGTCAACATTTATCTATTTATCACAGTGGGAATTGATTTCTCAGCGGATATGTCTGGGGAAAACAGTTTTTTGTGCATTGGGGATAAAAAGTTGTTCAAATTTTTTATACATTAGGGTTGGACTTTTTAAGGTTTTAACGAAACTACAGGCGCACTTGTTGTTTCGAAATATACATATTTTCCGTTTTCTTTTCGTCCGTTTTATCTTATTTTAAGAACTGTTTACATGGTTAGGATTTCTCAGCGTAACATGGATTTATCTGCATGGAATTTATCTGAGCCTGGCTTTAACTGAAGTAGTGTTGCTAAGCAACAATGGCTTATCATGAACAAGTTCACGTGACATCGCGTGAAGTTCTCGTGTTCACTCGTGTGATTTCTTATTCGACATTAGCAATCAAATAGCAGCTGGGTTAGCCAACTTAGGGTAATGTACTCTTCGGATACTTTGCGGTCGCAAAGGGAGGGTAAGGCTCCAATCTTCGCAAATAGTATGCTCTGATTTGCATCTTTAATTAACATGTTTTGTGCATCAATTCTCTCTTGAGACTATTTATGCCTGATTATCTTTGCTGGTCAGCGGGCATTTTTTCAAATAACAGTTGAAAGAGCTAATAATATTATTTTTTGCTGACTAAGGCTCGAATTTCCCTAGCACTCTTCTTTAGAAATGACTCTTAAAATCGTTGAAAGGAGTTTAAGATTCATTTCTTTTTTATGAGATCCACGTTCATTGAAACCAGCGGCGGCTTCTCTGAAGTTTGGCTTTCCTCGTTGGAGTAAAGAAATCTAGTGCTAGAGGAAAGCTATCGTCCACAAAATGAGTGCTTCTCATTGTGATAATTCTCTTGGCATAGAAAAACGAATTAATGGTGGACGATATCCTGTATAGGGGTTTTTCCCTGCAAATGTTTATGCATGAATAGAAAAGAAACGCTATTTTTATCATTAAAATTTTAGCTGTTGCGTACGATAGTTGTCTGTGTTGGTATTGTAAGCAAAAGGTTCATTCTTGGTCTGGTGCGTCAGCATCATCTGTTCTTGCTCTCCTGGGTAAAATTTTGTCCATGTTCCCATTTTGTTCCTCCGCATTGACATCGATTTCGCCCGTTGCAGAAGAAAAGCCTTTGAACATTATGACGTAGCTCCTTGAACGATAAAGACCTGGGCTCAGTTGTGCGAAGGTCGACCATTTGCTAACCCAGGGTTATGTTTTAATCCATGTTTCTTTATTTCTGTATTCATGAGTCTTTTTTTTTTTAATGATTTTCTCTGTCTTTTTTAGAATATCATACAATAATCAAATTGTAGACAAAAAGATCAAAATGAAGTTCCTATTAAAGCTTTCAGATCTGAAATCAAATTTCAAGCTAACCCTGGGTTATTTTAACCCGGCCAGCTTTGAACAACACGGCCTAGAGCGATATTTCCCTTGGTGGTGCCACTGGTGGGGTGCGCAGACGCCGAGACAGAAACACTAAGATGGAAGAGGGGGTGGGTGTGCAGCCCTCTTACTGATCGAAACACGCCATTTGAGGCCTATCAGAGCGGTTCGAAAAACCACGTCAGTGACGAACACGCCTTGACTCATCATCAACATTGTTTTGAAGGATAGTATGATTCCACCTCAGCCCTAAAGTCTCTCCCCTTTCCTTCCTTTGGACCGAGAGAGAGAGAGAGAACCTCCCTGTGATTATCACTACTAATATCATAAACAATATCATCGTCATCATCATGATCATCGTTGGTATCATTATCATTATTTCATAGGGGGAAATTACATGGCCTCTACTTTCTCCTTACAAACTCACTCCTATGGTCACGAGAGTCAAGGAAATGATCACCAACTAAAAAAGCTCTTGATTGTTAAACAAATTCTCCTTGTCAGCGCCTCAGGAAATGTTAAGAGACCAGTATGGAGAATGTGCGTACTGATGTTAGAGTGTAAAAGGTTAAAAGGTAAAATTTTTCTACCACGATGAAATTGATGGACTAACGATAATTTTTTTTTTCCATCCCAGAAAATTTATGTACATGTTGAAGGACCTTGCTTGCGGAGGAATGACTTCGTCCGATATTCTCGCAGGGGAGAGTTTGCTATATTAAAAGATTCGTGAAATTTCGAAGACCGTCGTACCGAGAGACTCCCAGCACAGCTCTTGTTCCCGAGCTCTAGAATTACACCTAAATATTGTGCAAACTGGTGTAAGAAATTGTAGATTTTTCAAAAGCTAATCCTCATGGCAAAAAGTAGAAAATTTCAAGTCGGTGTAACTCAAGCCAAGTAGGAAGGAAGAAGAAACGACAGTCCTGCGTAAAAAAATCCTCAAATTTGCTCACTTTCGCATGTCTGGGGTAATTACAATTCTTTAATTATACAAATGTCGGCTTTAAATTACAAATTTTACCAATTTTATCAACCTCTATTTGACAAATATATTTTCTTGAGACAATCAAAGCCTAACAGGTGGGGTGAAATCGTTTGTCAGATTACCAAATACAGTGGGTTGATCACAGTGTTGATATAAATTTCTCACGTAGTTTTTTAGTTAGCACTTTTGGATTCATTTCCAGCCTCCAGCTTGGAGATCTATACATTGGTGAAATCTTATCTTAACAACGAAGAAGGTTTCGTCCTAAGTTCTTTTTCAAGCGACTGATTTTTTTTCCTAAATTCAAACTAACCAAAATGTGTACTAGCTCCCACTGAAAAATCAATTTTCTATGGCAGTTTAAGGTATTTGTTCACCTAAAACGTTGTTACAGAGTGCTTGGAGCAACTGCAGAACTTTCTGATCATTAAGTGTCACTACGGTGGCCTTGTATATCTTCTTTTTCTGCGAGGATCGATTCTATATTCATTTCTTCAACCGCAGTGTACACAAATGATTTTCATACGTTTACAGCTGATTATTCACCACTTCGAAGGTTTATTTGGATCCAACATAATGACCAGCTCTCGGTTGGCTTGTTAGCTCAGTTGGTAGAGCGCTACACCGGTATCGCAAAGATCATGGGTTCAAATCCCGTACGGGCCTGAATCTTTTTTCACGCTTTATTTCAACTACTAGTTCAGTAATGTTTATAACTGCTAGGAACGATTCTTATATTCGTTTCTTCAACCGCAGTGCACACCTATGATTTCACATATTTTACAGCCATCATTATTTTCCTGTGTTTGATTTGCAGTTTTACTTTCCTCCGGTTTGCTAAACTGTTTCAATATTTAAATTTGAAATCGGATGTGTATAGTTTGGACGTGTTCGGTAAATATCCTTGAAGTTGTTATCCACAAACGACCGGCGTTCTTGCGAAACTAAAAATGTAAACATCCAACTTGGATGTTTGTTCTTTTGCTAAATTTCTCTCAAATACGTCCTTTGTACTCAAAATGCGTTTTTATTTTCATTTGACTTTGTTTGATAGTTCATTGTAAACATCAAATGGGTAGAAAGTTGACGGTACACAACTTAAGGGTTATGTGGAAATTACTATTTGCAGAAATACTTTCTGTAAATATTAAAGCTTAGTGTTATTTATTTTAAGTTTAGATAAGTCGTATAGGAGGTGAGTTTTGCTTTGACTGAGTAGTTCCAGTGGGTTCCGTGCTGTTAGATAAAGTATTCTAAAAGACTTCATCCCAAAGGTATGTTCACCTTTAATAACACTGATCCTTACCAAATTCACTGGGCTCTTAAAGTAATTTTGGTTTGTGATGAAGTAATCTGAATAATATGAAAGAACCTATTTCACCTGGCATTGCCATAAATAGTTTGAAACCACACTTAAAGTTTCTTATACCTAAACATCTAAACGTAAGCATTCGCTTTTCAAAATTTTCCCCCGAGTGAATACAATAGAAACAAAGCGCCTGTTCTACAAATGCTTATCCTTTGTTAAGAGATATCATAAGAAAATGGATGATTGTTACAATTCATTGATTGAGTTGAGGAAAAAAGTATCGTCACACTTGTTAAACAAAACAAGCTTAAGAGCAAAATATCCTCGGGTGTTAGCTTTTCAAAAGACCGGTTTTAATAAGATTCAAACTACAGCAATAATAAAGGAAAACAACTTGACTTTTTTCATTTATTTTGTTAGAATTTTCCCTGAGGTCAATCTACATCCCTCGTAAACTATTAACAGAATACTGATTTAAATCTTCAGAGGGCTTGACAAACTAGGTAATTGAAAAATCTAATATTCGTCCATAAGGTGAAAGAGTTTGAACGTACGTGTAATATTTTTTACTGTAAGAACGCTTTTATAATTTGAAAACAAAACTTTTAGCCATTTCTATAATTCACTTAATTTAAAAACAACTTAAGAATTACTCAACTCAACGGATTGAATAGAAGTATTTACGACATCCACAAAATGTAATAGTTTTACTTCATGCTTTAAGTTTGAATTTTGATCTACAAATTCTGCAAAATACTGGGTAAACTCATCTTACAATGTTTTCATAGATGCACTTACTCGCTTCCTAATAATTTCGAACAGTAAAGCGTATTTTCAAAAATTGGTTTTCTTCGGACTTACGGTGAAATAAAGCTTCAAAAAAAGTCAGAACATCAAGTTAAAACGTGGCCATGTTTCTATTGTATTGTAAGACTTTGGCCTGAGGTTAGACAGGAAAAAATTATATAAGTGACTGTGGTTTTAATGAAAGTAGCTGAAAACACTTAAAAAAAATAAATACTTTTTAGACTAATTATTTGATTGGTAAGAACTATGTCTGAGGTTAAAATGTCTTGGGGTAACTAATGTTTCTCCAAAAAAGCCAAATTTCGCTTAAAACTGCTTACAAACTCATTTCTGGGAAGAGGTTGTGAAACGGGTGTGGCTTAAAGTTGTTTTAAAAAATCTCTAGAACTCGAAGCCAAAATTCTACTTCATTTGGTCATCTTTAATGTAGGATTTTGCTTGAGGCAAAATGCTAAAACTCCTCAAATGAACAGCAAACGGATAACGATGTTAAATGAATCAATTACAACCACCCACGAAATAAAAAGATCTTTGAAATGTTAAGAAAGCAAGAGCTGTGAAACATCTGTTAACGCACAATTCATCGACCTTTTTTATACCCGAGACAATAAAGTTTACTTCCTACCTAGACGCGTTCTTTTACAAAATCGTACTGACTACATTCAAGACATATGGAGACGAAACTAAAGTCGCTTTGTTTTATAAATGTTCAATTAAAGGCTATATGACTGGAGGCAAATATAGTTACTCTTACTAAAAGCCAGCGAAATCCTAAACAAAGTGGACAGTTAATCAATTTTACTGTAAAATTAAGCCAAATGCTTCCGGGAGATAATTGATAGTTTGCTAAAAAAAGAGCGTTTTGAAGTTTTTAGTGTTAAGTTGCGGTACGCTATTGAAAAAGTTTTCTCTTTTCTTTTGTTATCACAAGCCTGCATAAGAAAAAAATCCGGGATTTTGGTAGAGTAAGTGAAAAGTTTTTTAAAATTTTATTAAGATGAAAATTGTTAGCGGTGAAATGCTAAAAGTGTTTAAAGCTTTAGTCGATTTTAGTTTAAACGACTGTTCGAAGCTAAAACTGATTTCCAAAAAACGAATTACGGGCCACAAATGTCTCCTTGTTCTTTATGATAATTGCCAAATTCACTGCAAGGATTTTCTCGTTCTTCAAGTTGAACGAAGATTCTTCTTTTCATACATTCAGCTGTATTACAGTTTAGACTTATCCAATTCATCGTTTATGGTGGAAGTTGTTATTTAAACAATGTTCTTTAATACATTCAATGTTGTTTAAGCAGTTACACAGAGAATTTTTAAAGGCGATTGTCAGTCTTATGCCCACGAAGTCATTGCTAAATTAAAAGCTGGTTATTAAGACTAAAGACTGGAAAAGCTTTAGTTTCCAGCTCTCGTATACTGCCTCAACTAATTTCAAAATTTTTTAACCTTAAAAAGACACAGTTTTAGGAAGATAGAAAAAGGC